AGTCCTTCTCCTTCTTGCTCATGGACAAAATTTATAATCATGAGGCAAAATGAGTTTTAGTATATGACTCCTCATAAGGAAGAATACAATCTAGACTGAATCTGATTCAGTACAAAAAACCATGTGCAAGTTTGTCTTCAGGGATTTTTTTTACAGACAGATCTGGTATCAATTCAGCCAAATTTTAATTAGTATTTTAATATTTTTTATACATATATATATATAAATACATTTTTTTTTTTTTTTTATCATAATGAACTTAAGGTTCACTTTCAACAATCGATATATAGAATTCCCAACAGCTATGAATTACTTAACAAAAGTTGTCAAACTAATTGCTTTTAAAATGATGTGTGTGTATATCATAGCGCTATTGATTTATATATAAAGCATTCAGTTTTAGGATAGAGAAATAAAAGATTAGTTGATAAAGCCAGCTAATGATTTTCCTATTGTGACAATCCTTAATCTGACAAACTTATACCAATTTTATTACTTTCTACATGTACATAAATAAAGCATGCTGTCTCCTAAAAGACAATTTTCCTTTTCATCATGTTCATCCTCATCATAAATAATACACCATTAGTTAGCATGATCATCTGGTGTATGGTTCATATACAAATATAGCTATACTTGTTAATAATCATTCATATACATGTACATGTACATTTAGTTTGTTAAATTACTAAAGGTTCATGCCATTCTTGTAAAAAATCAAAGTGTCTTCAATTTCTACATAATATACTTCCTTTCAGTATACAGATGACGAACAAATATTTGTAGAACCAAAGTAAAGATCTCTACATGATGCTATACAATCCAGCTCAATCAGGTAAGATGGAGGTGTCATATAATAATGAAGTGACAGCAGGTGCCCTACAGCCATTAGTTAATGACACATCAGAATGTAAGATGATAATGGAAAAATCATAAAATGGAATACACAATTTTTCGCTGAATCTGTCATAGAATTCTTCATATGAGGTATTAAGAAACTGTGAGCTTCGAATCGTTAATTCAATAAACATATAAAAATGTACAATGATTAAGGAAAAGGAAAATTTTTGACATTAAACCTCAAATAGGCTGACCCTTTGAAATATGAAAAATTCAGGTTAAAAAATATTCAAGGAATGTGGCTTCTCGTGTCCCTTTATATTCAATTTCTCAACCTAAATATGCACATAACATTCATAATGCATCCACATACTTAATATAACAAGACTAATACTGGGTCTAGACCTGCATTGCTGAAAGCAATTGATTCCTATATTTGATGAAAATTTTCCCTTGTATAACATTGTATAATGAGTGTTTTAAATTTCAAACAATTAAGAAAACATGAAGTGGTTTAACAGCAGATGTAATAAAATGCTCCGCTGGGCTCAGCTTGATACAACCGCAGAGGTCGAACCCTGAACAGTTGGGGCAAGTATGGACACAACATTCAAGCTTGATACAGCACTGAATTTGGATTGTGATTAAATATTTGATACAGCATAGGTTTCTGACACAGAATGAATGTGGTCTAAGAACTAAAAAATTTTAATTTACCTATTCAAACCATATCATTATTATTTGCTTTTATATATAAATCAGAAATAACCAATTTAAAATGGAAAATTTTAAAGAAAAAAAAGGAAAAAAAAATCCCCCCCCCCAATTTTTTGAACCCCCTTATGATTCATCACCCCCAAACTCAATCCCAGCCATCCCTTTATGGTATGGTACCTTGCAGTACAATTTCAGAGAGATCCATACACTTGAACACAAGTTATTGTCTGGAAACTAGAAAAATGCTTGTTTTTTGGCCATTTTTTGTCCCCAAATTCCTAAACGTTTAGAGCAATTACCCCCAAACTCAAACCCAGCTTTCTCTTTGTGATATGGAACCTTGTAGTACAATTTCATAAAGACCCATACACTTACACACAATTTATTGTCATGAAACTAGAAAAATGCTGTTTTTTGCTCCTTTTTTGCCCCTAATTCCTAAAATTTTGACGCAATTACCCCAAAAATCAATCCCAGCCTTCCCTTTGTGGTATGGTACCTTGCAGTATAATTTCAGAGAGATCCATTCACTCGAACACAAGTTATTGTCTGGAAACTAGAAAAATGCTTATTTTTGGTCCCTTTTTGGCCCCTTATTCCTAAACTTTTAGGGCAATTACCCCCAAACTCAATTCCAGCTTTCTCTTTGTGATATGGAACCTTGTAGTACAATTTCAGAAAGATCCATACACTTACACACAAGTTATTGTCATGAAACTTGAAAAATGCTTGTTTTTTGTCCCTAATTCCTAAAATTTGGAGGCAATTACCCCCCAAAATCAATCCCAGCATTCCCTTTGAGATATGGAACCTTGTAAAAGAATGTCAGAGAGATCCATACACTAACACACAAGTTATGTCTGGAAGTTATAAAAATGCTTATTTTTGGCCCCTAATTCCTTAACTGTTGGTACCATAACCCCCAAAATCAATCTCAACCTTCCTTTTGTGGTATTGAACCTTATGGTAAAATTACATAGAGATCCATTCACTTAAACTAAAGTAAGAGTGCGATTACCAATGTGTCTTCAGACCAGGGATGGGCATGATTACTGACAAATGTAATCGATTAATAATCGATTACATGAAGGATTTTTGTGCAATCGATTAATAATCGATTACTCTGAATTTTGTATGTAATCGATTGCAATCGATTACTTTATGAAAAGTAATTACATTACTTTTCGATTATTATCAATTACATGCTAAAAAATATTGAAGAATGTTTAAACACAACTTATTTAGAGTGGTAATTTGGAACTTTACAAAAACAGCTTTTAAAGCATTGTTTTCAAATGTTTTCAAATCGTTTTCTAGATAGACACTCTTAGAGAGGATCTAAACTATATAAATATTCTTGAGTGAGCGATGATAAACATGAGAACATTCTTGAAATGAAATCGACAATTGTATCAATTGCTTCCTTATATTGTAGGTCATTTTCTCCATAGTTTGCAAATTTTTGCTGTCATACTGACTTAATTTTGATATTTACTCTTATTTAACAGGATGGTATATTTGAATATAATGAGGATGAGAGGTTTCCTATGAAAAAAAGATATATAAAAATGAAGAAGAGTTAGTTTAACTGATTTTAAAAGATGGAAATTTATAATTTATAGTTACATGAATGAATTTATCCTTTTGTTTGGATAATCCCCCTAATTACAGGTTATAAAATTGCCAATGGAGAACAATTTATAACCTAAGGGCAACAACATGTATTAAATCTCTCATTTAATTAAACATAATTGAAATCAAAACATAGTCTGTATCTCATTGATTAGAGGTCTTTGATCATCTGATTAGTAATTATAAAAACAAGAAGGTTTTTGAGAATTCTTTGTTCTCTTTTCAAAATCATAAACAATTTACATTTCAGTGACACAATGGGATACATGTATCTATTACTGAACAAAAATGTCAATGCATTGGTTCATTGTAAAAATGTTTTGTATTCTTTCCTAATTTTGATGTCATAACACTATGACGAATCAACAGTTTATCTACTCTAAGCTAAAGTTCTAAATATAATTGAAAACTAAGCTTTAAAAAATGTTATTACATATATAAAAGCATTCTTCTTTAGTATAGTACAGAACTTGACTTAGGACTACAAGTGCATTTATGTATTTTCCTATTTTGAATCTATTTTCTTATTTTTAACATTTTTGTGTTTAATAAAAAAATATCTCAAACTATTGACAAGCATTGGAAGTCATTTATTTCAAAAGCTGGAAATAAAGTAAAATTTGTTAGCCTAGGAGATCTGGTTTATCATAATGCAGCTTGAGACAACAGATCTAAATAAGGTATTTGATAAACTCTAAAGTAATATTGATACATTTTATTTTATCAGTACTTTAAACTGATGAATACATGCAGTTGTCTATTTTCATTTAAACTAGGTTTTATTTCAAACTATATTACTAAAGTAATCGAAATGTAATCGAAAAGTAATCGATGATTACATCATAATTTTTGCTGTAATCGATTAAATTACGATTACATGTAATCGAAAATGTTGTCGATTACAGATTACTGTCGATACCTTGAAAAAATGTAATCAATTACAATCGATTACGATTACAGATTACGATTACCCCATCCCTGCTTCAGACGACGACGAGGCCAACGTCATACCAATATACAACAGCAAAATTTTTTTGCGGTCGTATAAACATTGCTTACATGATACAACTCAGCATTATCAAACTGCAGATCAAATATAAACCCTTCCCTCCAATCATTGTCCATAGAAGCCAAAAAGGTTTGATGAAAAACTTTTCTTAAAATGAGTGTTGTAAAATTTCAAACTATTAGCAAACAGGAAAATTAATAAACCAGCTAATGATGCAGGGGATGCAGGAAATGCAGGAAAAAAAAGAGGATGTGGCATGATAATGTTTACTTTTCTTTTCTTTTTGACTTTTTATAGTCTCAACAAAATTTCACCAATAGACAATGTTATTTTTTTGCACTTTTTGCAATTATTGCATGTTATAATTTTGGTGAAACCAAACATCAACACCTTAATCAATAGCAGTCTACTGTGCCAGATATTTAAGGGTTATACTTTCATAATTGGTTTTTGGACACACAAAAATAGAAAAAGTATTTTGTCTAGAAACTGATAAGGATCACACATCAATGATCAATACCATCGATCACACATCACAAATTTTCAGTGGATCTGCCTGTGGTAAAAATAACAAATAATACATATGGCTTAAGCTTGGACTCTTCATTTTCCATATGGATACCACCATCTCTTTATACAGTAAAATGTTTTGATTTAATACACTGTTGTGTTGTTATAAACAATTAACAGTCTTGAGTGTCCTAAAATAAATATCAACATGGACAGTACTGAGTACCAAATACATGATAAATATCCATAAGATGTTCTGTACTGTAGAACAGTATACATGGTATAGACTTACAGCTCTATCTGGGTGACCAAAATCAATTTTCAGTTGTCCCATCGCTCTAATAATGGCCATCATTGACTGGATAGTGTTACTGTAGACCACTGGTTTATACTGTAAACATTCTTCTTGGGAATAACCCTTTTCATGAATAATTCTGTAATTGATGATAAGTGTTTGTGTAAGTGACATGTTTGTTACTTATGTTAGGCCAAATATAAAATTTAAGATTGTTTGATGTTGCCTGCCTAACCTGGGAGTACCCACCTAAAAAGCAGCCTATCCAAAAAAGTTTATGACACAAATCGCTTCAAATTTTTTTCAAAGTTTTTTTCGTGCTCTAACGTCATTTTCTTGTCTAAAACATGTGACTCATGTTGTTGGTAAAAAAAAAAAAATTCCCTACCTACCTAACCAACCGTACAATCATGACAATGCATGGGTAGGCAATTCCAACATTAAACAAAGAATTGTTAATTAAGGGTGGCCTTACTACAGTTTGTGGACTTCAAACTATGTCCGATTCAAATTGACCAAACAAAATACAATATTGTGGAAAAAGGTACACCTCAAATTTCATGCATACATGTTTATCAATAATGAATACCCTATTTTATTATATGATTATAAAATTTCCTCATTATCCTCTTTTTTCGGTGTTTATCAGTCATCACTGTGTGTCATGTCAGTTTCTCTTATTAGTGAATTTGATTGAATATTTCAACTTATTCATTTCTTATTAAAGTTAGCAACTGCCAAAGCAGATAATATATTTAGTATAAAGTAGTTATGTAATATCTTGAACAGATACTAGAAAATTGGAGATAGATAAAAAATTTAATAAAACAATTGTTGACTTTTGATATCAGTTGATAACAACCTCATCAAAAGTCAATAATTGTATAATATTAACATTTTATATTAATGATATATGCACACAGCATGCACATGTACAGTATCACAGTATATATTTCAGCACTGGATTGACTTTTTTATAAAATGGTCCATTCTTTTATATTCTTATTCTGGGAATTGTTTCACAACTTTTTCATCAAAATTCGACCCATTTGAGTCAGACCTAAAATCCACTTTAAACAGTGTTAAATCTGTTACAAGTGAATTTAAAGATGTACAAGACTGTGAGACCATCTTGTCACAGTAAATTTTCCAGGAAATAAAATTAAATAGAAAAATAATGAATTCACAATTCTAAGTTATAGTTTGTAGCAGAATATATTATGGTATGGGTTCTGCTCATTGTTGAAGACTGTTCAGTGACCTATACTATGCTAAAATAATAAATATGCATATGCTTCATTTCAAATCTGTTGGAGAGTTGTCTCATCTGCAATCATACCACATCTCATTCTACTTTTACAAATAAAAATTACACATGTACAAATAAATTATACATCTGCACATTAAAGTTGATTGGTATAAAATATTTTGATCATATTGTGTGTTGACTAATGACTTCAAGGTCACTTAAAATAACAGGAAATTCAACTTACATATACTATCAAATCTATTATTAATGGAAGTTTGTGAAATGTATATTGTACAAGCTTTATCCCATTATGCTTATTCTCATTAAGGAATACATTATAAATCTACAATAACTATTTACAAATTGAAGTTATTGGAACCTTATAAACATGATGTGGTCTTTTTGAAACTGGACTTATTATGCTAATGGGGAAAATTCTGAGAAAGACTGAAGAACTTAATTTGTACATGTTGTACATGTTCATACATTTGTAGATCACACATGATGATGATATCATTTATACATGAATCCATAAAATTTTGGTCTTAGACATAACTAATCATGCTTATGGCAGATAATTCAGGAGTTCTTTGAAAGGAAGGAATGATTTACTGCAATTAAAAATTACATAAACTGAACATTTCTTAAGTAACTAAATCTGTGTTCATCACATGTCTTCTATGTTTACACTAATAATAAACTCACTTCATTTGTTTAACTATTGTACTCTTTCCAGATTCACCAGCACCTATAAAATAAATAAATATATACATGTCAAGTCTGATGGGAATATTTGCTGTTTCATTCTTCTAACAGATAGAGTTCAGATGTGTTTGACTTCTTCTACCAAATTATGACCCCTAATTTTGCATGATTTGTGTTGTAAGGTTAGTTTGGTCCAATGTTTCCATAACAGTTTTTAGCATAATTTACTTTGGCCCCAATCCAAGATCCAAATTTTTGTTGACGTCTACAGATTTGATATCAAAACAGGCAGCTTTAATTTTGGACTGAAGGTTGCAGCCAAGGTTTTCCTAAAGCTTTTAGATCCGAAAAAAATAAACAAAATCAATTTGAGTCTTATGACTATGTACAATTTTGCCTTTAGTATATATATAGAGATCTAAATTTGCCTTTTTTATGACAAGTCATGATAGTCAATAATTATATATAAATGTTCAGCAAAAAATATATGACCTGTACAGTCTGTGCCAAAAACTTTTCCAGCTTCATGTACTTGCCCAAAATCAGAAATTGTAACATTTTTCCTACATAAGTAAACAAAGTTTCACTACATTTTCACTAGCCCTATTCAATTTTTATTAAGACTTGGGAATAGGGCTAGTGGCTAAAGGCACAAACTGCCTGTATCAAACTGTTAGCAATATTGACTTCTTCGTAGCCCATTTTCCGAAAATAAATCAAGATGTTTCCTTAAAAACACCATGCTCCACTCACACATTTTCATATTCAGTGAAACACAAAAACTTGTGCAAAACTCTACTTTGGCTTATACATGTACATGTATTTTTTAAAGTTCCGGACATCATGAACATTTTACACAACTTTAAATATTGTAAATTCAGAAATTATTGTGATTTTTGAAAAATGGACAAAAATGTGAGATTAATTATTGTGATTTCAGGACAATCTACATACAGATATTTATCAGATATCAGAATGTGAGTTCTTATTATTGCGATAATCACCAAATTGCATTATTTGCGTTAATAAAATCCTCGCAATCAATTCTGAAATTGCAGTACATGTATATACTGTTTAACCAAATCGTTAACTTGATACTGGGCTGACCAATGGACAGACAAACTGGAATCAAAACATCTCCCTACTATCTAAGTTGTGCATCTATATCAAAATGAAATTGCAACCACAATTCATCATGTTTATCTTCTGAATATATTAAGGAGTCTCAAAGCGATGATAACTTTTATTCTTTGCAAAAACATTGATCACAGTTTGTCAACTATCATGACTATAATCATGATAATAATGTTGTCAAATTGTATATAATTAAGTGCTAATGAGACATCTAATTTCGCCAGTCTGGCAAACAAAGCTTCTGTTCTGTATCAGAAAAAACATGAAAAAAAACAGAAATCAAGGTTCTTTGTCATCAATGGTCATGTTTAGGCAACTATACATGCTATAAGGCTTAAATTAAAATATTGTTTGTTTGCAGTTTACGGACCGACCCTTGAAATCCCCCTGACTGCATAGTTGCCAACTCACATGATATTCGAGTGTAATACACGCTTTTTCAACGGTTTACACGCGAGGATTTTGTCACATGGCGTGTACACGCTTTTCGTCACTTTACACGCTTTTTTGTTGTTTTGATTTTTTGGTCGTTAGTAAGATCGCGATTCACGGGTGTTTTCATTAATAGACGATAAATACCGAGAATTTCGAAGAATTTGTTATTTGTATATTTACGATATGAACAAAAGCCCTATACTTCAGGTAAGTTTGTAAGTAGGTTTTAAGGTTTTGTTACTTCTTTCTCTCAAATTCACTTTGGAAAAATGTCAAGCAGAAAGTGGTCACTTTCTGGACCTGTACTGTCGTCTAAAGAGCCGAGGGCTAAACGAAAACGATAACAGTGTACGTACCAAAAAAGTTGGGAGTCCGTGTTAAAATCAATCTGATTGACAAAAGAAAGTGATCGAGGGCCGAACAATGCATTGTGCACCCTATGTTACTTTCATATTCATATTGGATCATCTGCAAACATTATCAATCATTTGCAATCATAACAACATGTGTGAAAGGATGTACTATTTGATAAAGCATTCAATGGTATTTAAATTATAAGATTTTTTCTTTTTCAGTTTCAAATCTAGCCAACAGATTTCCACAGATCATATGGGAAGGGAATATCACAAAACTGTTGGATCAGTTCTCTGAGTACCAGCTGTCTTCTGATGAATTTTGACCAGACAATAGCAACATATATAATTTGTGGGAAGCGCAATGGCAGACATAGATGACATTTTGAATGGCAAAAAAAAAACATCATATATACATGTATATGACATTCTTTCAAAGCTTGCTATTTAAACGTTAAAGCTATTTTAGTTTTGCCAATTAACAATTCTGACTGTGAGAGAGCATTTTCAATTATAAAGAAATTTACACTGATTTCAGATCAGAACTCAACTATATATTGTGTGCCTTATTATCATGTAAATGTAACCAAACTGGCAGATATTTTGAATATTTGCCTAGTAGTGTTGTTTTGAAAGCAGCAAAATCAGGCCATTATTGAATGCAATAAGAGTTTACAGTAGAATATTGTTGTTTTATATTAACAAATTTGTATAATGTTCATATTAAAAAGTCTGCAACTACATCACGCGTTTTCACACGCTTTTTGACATGTCATGTTATGTCATGACATGATTTTTCATTGTCAGAGGTTGGCAAGTATGCCTGACTGTGAAAATTTTATTGCTTTAAAATTTAAGAAAATATTTTTAAAACTTCTATTGCCGAGATCCGGAAATTCAGGTCCTTTCTGGAATTGATTTAAGTCTAGGTCGATTACACGTTTTAAGTTCGGTTTTTCTTGCCTTCCCGTCAAGCGTTCATGTTACCGTTTAATGATAAAGCACATGGAAATTGTTTACAGGTATCCATGAAGTTATTGAGGAGTACTTTACGCTGTCGACTTCTGTCAATTTTAAGACAAATAACAAACAAAAAAGTTTTATAGTAAACTGTTTATAGATTCAGGCATATAGATGATGTCTTTGACGATATCATTGAAGAAGATGCAGCAGATATTCACAACCCACATGATAACTCATCTTTGTCAACTTTCTGTCTCAAACAAATCGGGTACAGAATCTTTTGAGCCTGACTTTATGGAACCAATTTCAGTGGTTAAACAATTCGACAGCAGTTTGAAGTATGTCATATTTTCTATAAATCGTTGTGAAGAAGACAAAGATGAAACCACTCCTCCGTGATTATATGGATACATGTACCTGTAAACATGCCTGTACGGAGATAAAACTCATTTAAAATGTTAATGGATAGAGACCATGCCAAATCAATGAGAAGCAACCCAAAATACACAAAGATGTAGAGAAAATGAATGATAAGCTTGAAAAATAAATATACATGTACTCTCTCTATATTCAATCTATCTTCGATTGCAATGAGTATGCTCCTTTAGGACAAGGGGGGCTGCCCCACTCATTGCAACTCTCTTTCTTACAATATTAAATATCTCAAACTTTGTGGCCTGTCACTGAGTGAATTGAATTAAAGCATGTTCTTAGGAGTTATGCTGCCAATTTTTTTTATGCAGTCAAAACATTTCAGTACAGACCATTTACTTTAATGGGGTGCTACATGTATGTATTTCACCCCAAACTAGTAAGTTTTCTTTGATTTTCATTTAAGCCTGGTATCAACGTATCTTTCAAAATATAATCTTATTGCATATAATTAAATATTATTATAAATATGAAAACAGTCTTTTTTAAGTTGCACTTTTTTCCAATTGAGGAAGATTCAATGGCTGATTTTTTTTTTATTAAAAATACACTCTTTAAATAATACATTGTCTTATACATCTTTAATATCTACATTTTTCTGATGAAAATACTCTACTCATGAAAACATTCTAGGCAAGAAGCATACACGTCCGTGAATATATTTCTTTTAAACAGTTCTAGTCATTCCTTATAAGTGTTTCAGTATTTAATAATACCATATTTTATGTCATAAATTGAAATAAAGTTTCAGTTTTAGTTAAAAAGTTGTTTTTTTATCTGACAATGCCTGTTCATTTCATGTTGGTTTTCAGTGTTTGTTGTTTTAAAATAGTTTTTTTTTCTTAACAAGAAACTTGGTTTGTGTGACTGCTTGTTTAAATTTTTTGGCTGATAAAAATATTTTTCCTATCTACATGTACCGACCCTTCAGTCTGAAGGTACAGTCGGGAAACTGCAAACAAAAGTATTTTTAAGGTTGGCCTAAGCTGGTTTGCTACAAACTTGCCTTTTCTTCCATTGGGAATGAAGCCAGAAAAATTGCTGCTACATATACATTTTGTCAGGAGTTTTCAAAACTTGGAGCCAACTTTAAAGTTTAATGACAGTAAGAATCTGGATTTCTCTACTGCATTTGTAACACAGTGTTCTCATTAAGGATTTTTGAAGGCAAGTTCAGATACTCATCATTTTTGGCCATGATAGTCATGACAGTGAGAAGAAGAAATTTTACATGGACTCGCTTTGGTGAAAACCCTATTAAATGTCTTACACTGTGCATGTACATGTACATGTATACTCTGCATCATTTAACTTTAAGTGTAATTTGTTATGTAATGTATTGTCAATTTGTCCTCTTATGTTTATATATTTTTTCTCCCATTTGCAATTGTCACTATGAAAAAAAAATGTAATCTCTATTTCCAAGTTGAAAAACTAATAATTTTTTTTCTGGAAACAGCAATAGGTTTGTCTTGTACATTTTTTTTTTCAAATTATCATTCTTGAACATGTTGAATGAATTCTCTTCATCATGCTTATTGTTTTGTTTAATGTTTTAATAAAGTTTGAAACAGTTTCTTTCGTATTTACAAGATGCCATCCTGAATAATTTCCCTCCAAATCTGTACACGTAAATTTTTTTCCATTGTTCTATTTTCAGCCTCAAGCCAAGGTCATATATATTTATAAATTTTTCAAACAGGTAATTGCTGTAAAAACATGACCACTGACCAGATACTTCCAAAGGTGTTAATTATTGATTGGTTTAAATTTCAAACATTGCCCTTACATGTAGATTACAGTCTGAATTAATTTTAAATCAATGAAGCCTCCTCATTGGGCACAGGACATTTAAGCAAAAAATTTAAAACTACCAGGGGGCAGTTTGATGAAATAAATAACTGCATTTACATTTTGTACAAACATTTGGGAAGTCAGCGTGATCCACAGAAATGGTGTTGAATTTCAGCTCTACCAACAAACTCGGACCCATGAAATTTACAACTTGTTTTCATTTTTTACACATTTTTCACATACGTTTCTGATGTCACATTTGCTTTAATCATTACATTAAAGTAAGAGTTGACTGATCAAATGTCAGCATTTAATGATCTGACATCACCGTAACTCATTGAATAAAAAAGAACTCCAAATTGGTCTGCATGATACAGTGTATGCACTGAGACTACATGTACCTATAATACATTATAAAGGTGTGTTATAGTAGTTTCAGGTACATGTACATGTAATGTATGGAGGAAAGCCCAACTTGCCAAGTCAAGCAAATCGAAAGCAAATTTGAAAATATAACCAATCACTTGGAAATCTTTTCTTCTTCTAGTTAACTGACAATAACCTTCCACATCTTTTTTAAAGATAACTGCATTGAAAAGGGTATATCGTGTTAATAAATGTGTATTTATATATGTATAGTAGCGTCATGTGTTTACGATTAAAGACATAAAATACGGAGTGAAATGCATGAAATGTTCGTCAAAATAGTCATTCGCAACAATTAACCGCTTTTCTGTGTTTCAAAATAACTTACCTAATAACAACAATTTCACTTCCCTCGCTGCTTTTTCACCATCTGCACGAAGTGTTTTGTCAATTTGTTTTGATCTTTCCGATGCGGCTTTATCGTCGGAAGAAGTAGCACACCCCATAGTTTATTTGTAATGTTAATCCAAAATTTACACCATATATTATAAAAAAAAATCCAATGAACAAAAATTATGTGTGAAAAATAATAAGTAACACTAAAATTTTAAGAAAACTTCCTGTAAATCGTTGACATTTTCAACGGTTGTCTGATGCTTTTTGAATAAACTCCCCGGATGTGGACGGGCACCTTGTCGAGACTTGAACGAGATAAGCTTTTTAGCATAATCAAAGGGAATTTCTCAAAACTATTTTTTTATCTGACATCATTCTTTGTTACTTTTATCAAAGACATGTCTCTGTTTTCATTTTGGCATCAATAAATACTTAGGGACAAGAAACGATTTTTTTTCATACAATCTACATATTTCAAATTTACCTGTAAAAGGCTATTTTCTCTGTTATGGTGTATTGTCTGTATTATGAAGGTCAAAGGTAAGGGACTTATCATTTTTTATCTGGGAAGGGGGCTGGTCAAAATGCAGGGGGATCAAGTTTTTTTCTCTATGTGGAAAAGGGGGGTTCAAATTTTTTATAAATTCAAAGTGGGGGGATCAATATTTTTTTGCACACGGAAATTAGTAGTTCATATACTTCAAGAGACAAAATATCAAGAAGAACATTATAAAACAGTCAAATCGAAAATATATCTTTAACACCATTTAATTATATACAATTAAGTAAGACATCACAAGACTTTGGTGATGTAGGAAGCTGCCATTTTGTGTCATTTTGTCCCTTATAAAATGCATAGGTGCTTCATAATCCGAATTATTCAGTCGTTATATTTCACTCACTTCGATCACTAAATTGACAAGCTTTACTGCCAAGTTTTGTTATAGTCAGCTTAATAGTTTGAGAGACATTAAGTATAAATTAAAACGAAATCTGCATGCAGCGATTTGTGCAAAATTTTGTTCAAAAATACAAATCACGCCGCATCATGAAAGAATATAGTGTAGAGCAATATCTTCTCCAATAAATGATTAAATATTGCATACAAACAGTTGAATATTGATACAAAAGATGATTCTGAGATGATGAACAACCCTTATGTATCTTTTTGTTTTCATTACAAGATCCCTTTGACTCCATTTATACCTCACACTCCCTCAAAATGATTTATACTTTTTAGGCTAATAAATCTAAATTTTGAGGTTACTATCACACATTTATGAATGAAATGTGACAATAAATGAGTAATTGAATTGTTCAAGCTGAAATGAACTATCCATATAAAAGTTTAGCGACTCAATGGAGGTTTCAATAAGGCCTTAAGTTTAAGCAGCGTTCAAGAGAGGAACATATAATAGACCCCTCTTCGTAAATAATGTGTTGTTACTGTTTCGAAAAGTTAACTTTTTAATGTAAATTTTTACAGAGTTACTTAGGATAAAGTTTTCTTTAATAGCCCAATATAGGAAATTAGAAAAAAAGTCAGAATAAGCTACTCAAAGCACTGGCTTGCTAAACTTCTAATATTCATGGAAGAGCCCTATTTCAAGGCAATTTTCCCTCAAATATGTTTTTGGACTCAATCCACTGAGAATATTTCATTTGCAATATGTTCGTGAAATAAAATGATAAGTGTTTTGCATGTTAAAATTTTGGCATGTTTAATAGAGGGGGGATCTCATTTTTATTTTTTAAATGTTTCCCAGGGGGGATCAAATGAAAATAGTGAAATATTATGGGGGGATCAAGAATTTTTGTATTTTTGATTTCAAAATGACCAGCCCCCCCCCCCCCCCCCCCCCCCCCCCCGGTAAAAAAATGATAAGTCCCTAATTTTATCATTCACAATTGCAAATGCGATATTAAATATTGCAAATGCTCTTTTGAATATTGCAATTGCGATTTAATCGTAGGTTTTGCGCTTTTTGTAATAGGCTATAACGTAGCAAATCTTACTCAGCTGACAAACCATAAGGCTAAGACATTAATTTAGTGTATTAATTTGCGGTAATTTTACAACTTATAGCATTTGCGGTAATTAATATAACCTGATAATAAATTGTTCAAATAAGGCCTTTGAAAATAGTGGAATTAATTACTTTTGGAGTGTCAAAAATTCGTTGGAAGTACTTGATAAATTGCATGCTTATGTTGGTGATTTCGAATCTGTTCAAAGTTTAGATTTTTCTACCCTATATACCACTTTGCCTCATATTCTTATTAAGAAAAAATTCACACACCTAATTAAATGGGCATTTAAAAAATCAGAATGTGAATATATATGTTCAAACACTTCTAGGTCATTTTTTAGTAGCAACAAACAAAAGAACTATGTCAATTGGACCTGCTTTGATACTATAACTGCCCTTGAATTTTTACAAGATAACATTTTTGTTCGTTTTGGAGATTCCGTATATCGTCGAGTTATCGGAATTTCAATGGGGACTAACTGTGCACCACTTATTGCGGACCTGTTTCTGTATTGCTATGAGATACAATTTATGACTAAAATCAGCAAAGACCCATCGAAACAACATTTGATACAAAAATTTAATAATACTTTTAGATATTTGGATGATATATTGGCTCTCAATAATGACGACTTCAGTATGTACACTAAAGAGATTTATTCTGCTGAACTGACTTTAAATAAAGCTAATACTAACAATGAACACTGCCCTTTCCTGGATCTTGATATCTATATCTTGAACGGGAAGCTTAATACCAAAATTTATGATAAAAGAGATGATTTTTCATTTCCTATTGTTAATTATCCATTTTCAGCTGGTGACGTTCCCTTGTCACCATCTTATGGTGATTATATATCTCAACTTGTTCGATTTGCTCGTGTTTCAGTGTAACAACGTTTTAGATTTTAACGAAAGAAATCTATGTATTACTGAAAAATTAATACACCAGGGTTTTCGAAATCACAAACTAGTCAAATCATTTACTAAATTTTATCATCGGTATAAGGACATCATTCGCAAATATAAATTAACATGCAGACAACTTATACGTTCAGGTATTTCACATCCAATCTGTTATGGTAAATTAAGCCAACCAAACCTTTAAACAGACTTATTAAGAAGGGATACAGTTACGACACTGTTGTCAGGTCATTAAAAATGGCACATTTTGGCATTAATATTGATTTACGCATAGGGTCTTTGCATCGGAAATAAACACATTTATTCTAAAACCAGTTGTTGGCATGATACGGGGTATGTTCTTCTCATATATTTTATGATGGTATGATACTAAACCCCTAACGGGAGGGATTGTGCTTGATTTTCATATGATGAAGACATAATCTTTCAATCAGTTTAATTGAGGTCTGGAGCTGGCATGTCAGTAACTGCTAGTAGTCCTTTGTTAATTTATGTATTATTGTCATTTTGCTTAGTTTCTTTTGTTACCTATTCTGACATCGGACTCGGACTTCTTTTAAACTGAGTTTTATTGTACGTATTGCTGTGTGTTTGTTTTTTCTACATTGGCTAGAGGTATAGGGGAGGGTTGAGATCTCACAAAACATGTTTAACCCCGCCGCATTGTTTTGCACCTGTCCCAAGTCAGGAGCCTCTGGCCTTTGTTAGTCTTGTATGATTTTTAATTTTAGTTCATTTATATGTTTGGAGTTTAGTATGGACTCCATTATCACTGAACTAGTACACATTGTTTAGGGGCCTGATAGGTTATTTTCGTTCTTCGTGATCGGCGCATTTTCGCTATCGTGATCCGTTTTTCTACAGATTTTTTTTTAAATTTTCGTGATCCGTGATCATGGAAATTTATTTTCTGTGAATCGTGATTGACAAAAAAATCAACCTCGTGAATCGTGATGAGACCCCCCCCCCATCAGGCCCTTCATTGTTGTTTATGGGCCAACTGAAGCACGCCTTTGAGTGCGGGATTTTCTCGCTATATTGAAGACCCATTGGTGGCCTTCGGTTGTTTGACACATTCTCCATTTCCATTCTCAATTTTAGCATTTGAGATAGTTAATATAGCATTCGCAGTCATAGTTACAGCACTCATGATTTGCTTAATCTTATAAAAAATAAAAATAACTTGTGTATATATATTTGCTGTTTATACTTATGAACCGTTCGGTATCAAAAGTATAGAAATCAATTGCAATACATTTCAAATTCAGAGGAACTCTGAATACAAAAAATTGTCACTTCAATTTACTTGTTTTTCCGCTGCATGGCTTCTTCTTAATTCTCCGCCCACTTCTATATAATTTAGATTACCATTTAATACATCCACTTAGATCATGTAAAAACGTTTATTTAGGTGAATAATCATTGATGTAAATATTCACAAGTATAGTATAATCTGTTTTGTTGGTTTAGTTATTGCTTGTGCCTTTTATTAATGCACTGGCTACGATTACCCGCAGAAAATAATTATTGTTACTTCCAAGACTAATTGACGAGATGTATATCCGGACAGGGACACGATTTCATTCGGAAATTGCAGGTAACAATAATATCATTTGTTATTGTTACCTGCAGCTATTATCAGTACCCGCAAAATATATCCAGACAGCAAGCACTGGTCTAAAAAATGTTTCATTTGCGAGCAATCTGATTCAGAAATAAATTAAAACAATTAAATCATGATGTAAAAACTTCTAGATGTATTGACCAATCTGACGTTCTCGTTTCCCATAGAGGGTATATTAAAACAACTCTCTATTCTTTATATTCGAGTTGAGAAATTTACTATGAAACGAAATTACTCGAAGAGAACAGTAATCTCAATATTTTTCAAAAAGTCCTGGAAAACGCTCAAATAATCAAGATATTGCTAAAGAATGACATAGCAGAATTGAACTTTTTAGTGTGCGGTAAAGACGTGCATATATATGGATCTATAGTTTGCGACGGATGTCTTGAGTGGTACCACACGAAATGTGTTGGCCTCCAAAATGCCACCTACGGCTACATATAGGATATGCAGGAAATGTCACCAAATAAATAGCTACAAGAATTCTAAATATGTATACAACTGCTTTCAATTTATCATTGCTACATTTATATGTTCAATAAATAATTTTCTATTTATATAAACTTGTTCAAATATGTAAAACAACGTATACTGGACAAAGACACGAAGACAGTCTGTAAAGCATCCCGATGCTACACACAAAAAGACATAATTTGCATATGAAAATTTTGCAGGTAACAATAAAAATTATATTATTGTTCTAGTTCTTGGACCATTGTGGTTCCTTCCTTGCCGACATCAACGACATGCCAAAAATAGTAGCTTCACCAAAGACAACTTATTTTCAGCTAACCTCCTTCTTTTTCGAACCATCATCAATCATCACCAACCAAGCAGACAGTTACCTTATACAGAAAGATTACACATCATTGGATGACTGAAAACTAATGACAAGTGAGTTTTACGCCATAAGACAAGTGCATTGTAATAAGACCGTCAAAGAAAAGTTCATATAGGTGAAACAATCAGTAACAAATTAAACTGTGCCTCATGATAGACATATTGATAATACAGTTGGCAAAGCAAATAAGACATGCTGCACAAAAACTGTAAAGGTAACAGCATTCACATCCATGGTAAGACCTCTATGTATACAGTGAAATCATACATGCACAGTATGGGGCATGACAAACCAAGATAATATAGATCAAGGCAATAGAGCAAGTATAGAAAAGAGCAGAACGATTGTGCACAACAACTATAAATAGACGGAACACCTGCATGGCTGTGTCACAAATAAGGTAAAATCATTAAAATGGAAAAACTTCGAAGAGTGGAGAAAAACAAACAGATTATGCATGTTATTCAAGATCAATGATGATCAAATCGACATAGATCTTCAACAATACCTCAACAATATACCTGACCCCTCATGGGTGACTGGAAATAGAAATATAGTCACTCATGGTCTTCTTCCGACCGGTAGTAAATCCCTTGCCAAATTGGGGCGTCCGTTTGGCAGTGCGGGTGTACAAGTACGCAGCCACGTCCGGTCAGAATCGGGACGTTAAATCCGATGCCTCGTGTAGAGAGAAAGCCACGCTCTTTGCACGTTAAGAACCCTTGCAATAACCCTTTGAGGGGTCTGTAGGTTGCCTGTTGCAAGGCAAAATTTCTGTACCTATCCAGTATAGCATCATTTTCCAGTGGCAGTCCAAATTTCCCCGACCTTCATCCCGGACGGCCTCTATTACAGGACCTACCTATTGTATCTACTGTTAATTTGTTTTCGTCCTGAACATGCATGAAATATTTGCCACTGGACGTAAAGCAACCAACAACAATCAATCAACAATACCTGACCCCAAGATAAACGGATCAGAGGTAAGTATAGTTTCTATCTATCAGAATATAACAAGTTTACAGACGTATACTGCATGACAATCATTCTTTCTAAGGATTATCAGGGATTGGAACAAACTGCCAGCATCAGTATCATCGGCCAACAAAGTTGAGGGATTCAGAGCTGCCTTGAAGGCATGTCCTATAATGAAATAGGTAAAACGGTACAATATACATTAATTGTTTTAATTGTATATATACTATCATTTGAGTACGTTTGAAATGTAAATAGCATAGAGATTTCTGGTAATGTGTTAAAAGAAGAAGGAGAAGAGCCATACATTATTGAAACTTTTGAACTTGTTTAAAGTTTGTTTACGTGTACTAATTAGCCGTATTATCTTTGGCAGCCATTTCAGAGTGTGGCCCCATGCATGATATCTTACACATTTCATGCCATTTCCAGCTGTTCTCACCTGCATGAGGAACTTCTGAATTATCTTCTCTTCTATATAAAAGAATAACAAGTATTTTTTATTGTTAATATGTCTTGAAGATATAGAGGACATTGTTTGTGTAGTATTATAAAATTGTCTACAGCCATAGTTCTTAACCTTCTTACTTTTTATCTTTAATGTTGGCCGTAAACCTGATTTTATCATAAATTGGAGTTTCATATATATGTTTTTGTAGTCTTCATCTGAGACAACTACATGTATTACACAGAGTTATAGTAGTCTCAGTACGAATACGAATACGAAAGTTTTATTTTGATTCGGTTCACATATAACAATACAAACATAAGCTCTTAAGAGCTTTTTGCCGAATATAAGGTAACACAAACACAACATTAGAACACACAACATGCAGACAGGATATATAACAGCACAGTCATATTGAAATACATGCAAAGCACTATTAAAATACACATCTAAAGCCAAAGCTGAAGCACAACTAAAATTTAAGCACAACTAAAATTAAGCACAAATAAAATATAACACGTGCACACATGCAAAAATTTAAGGCATAATAACATATTAGAGCAACTTTTAAAATATGAAAAAGCTTATCTACAAGCAGAACAACAACATTTTGAACCATTCCAAGACTGTATAAGGCTCTTAAATTGAGAAAAACTGTTTTCAGTCCTGAAATGGTCAGGTAGGCTGTTCCACAGAGTAGCAGCTGCAAATTTAAAACTTTTCTTACCAAACTGTGTAGTTTTTACATGTGGTATATCCAGTATATTACTATATCTGAAAGAATATTTACAATCTTTTACATTTAATAAATCATGTAAACAGACAGGTGCTAATTTATTGACTATATTAAAAGTTTCAATTGCCATTGATCTTTGTCTTTTAATATGCAGTGAAGGCATCTTAGCCTTTTCAAGCAACTGTTGATATGAGCTTGAATGGTCTTCGTACACATACCTTAGTGCTCTTTCTTGCACTTTTTCTAATTTTTTTGAATTTTTCTCGGTACAAAAATGCCATGCCAAAGGGCAGAAATTGAAGTTTGACAAAATAAATGTATGGAAAATAGTAAGCTTACTTAGCTTGTTCAGATAAGCTCCCAAACGTTTCAAATTATTTAGTTGCTGAGATGCCTTCCTGCATATTTTACCAATATGAAAATCAAAATTTAGCTGATAATCTATGTCAATGCCAAGTAATTTGACAGTTGACTCACACGAAAGATCAGCACTTTGGATACGTATAGATGGATTTTTGTTATATGTCTTTTTCCCAACTGCTAAGACCTGAAATTTGTCGGGGTTTGCCGCCTGCATTTTATCTATTTTGAACCAATCAATAAGTTTGAGTGATTCAGATTCCGAAGTAGAAATCAAAACATCATAATCAGGACTACAGTATGATTAAGTATTGTCATCTGCATAATTATACAGAGTTCCATTTTTTATAAATAAGAAAATATCATTGATAAAAACATTGAATAGTAGGGGGCCAGGATAGAACCCTGGGGAACCCCCTTATAAATGAAGCACAATGTACATTCCTGTAATCATTCAGTTTCATTTAATATTGTTTTTTTTTTCTACAAAAATCACTAAGTATATATGCCAATAATTAAAATTAGACATCAGAAATGAAAAATAGACAGGTTAACCTTCCGGCCTGAGACGAGCGAAAGGTATGTTCCTGAATTTTTCATTTTTAGTATTATTTTCTCTACGCTAATGCCTAGCAACTAAAATTAGACACAGGGGCGGATCCAGGATTTTAGGTTAGGGAGGGGGGCGCAAACTTAAATTTTGTCGGAGCGGAGCGAGTCGAACATTTTTTTTAGGTAAAATTATCGACATGTTCTTTATTAAGCTGAGTACAACCCATGCAAATTTTAGGGGGGCGCACGCCGGCACGCCCCCGCCTGAAACCACCCCTGAGACATGATGAATTAATGATAAATAGTTATAGTCTCCTGAGACTATTATAACACATATTCAGTGTTTTATAGCTGAGACTACTATAAGTGTTATTATTTTAATGTGTTAAAGCTGGTACATAATATATTGACAGTATAGTCCCTGGTTATAGTAGTCTCGGATCGTCCCGCCAAATTTAGGTCTGAGACTACTATCAGAGACATATATCATATATATAAATACATTTATCATTACATATCTCTGCTAATATAAACGTTTTCCCCAAGAGTTGTAAGATATTCACTTGCCTTGACGATTTACTATGGCATAAAACTATAACCAGAGACATATATACACATTTGTATATATGTCTCTGCTATAACTGATTTTGTTTTGCCAATATTGCTGAATTTGTTAATTTGATTGGAAAATCATTTTATCGAATATACAATTTTTTAAAAAGTAAAGTTTTGAGACGACCATTCAAACGTCAGAAGGACCAAGAATTGGGAGTAGATCTCAATCATCGGAAGTAAACGTCAGCCATATCATCAACAACTTTCTGTAAAAAAAGTAAACGGAATTTAGTTTATGTCGATGATATTATGCATCAGATCGGCACAGTAAAACTTCACAGGACATGTCTGCTATCAGTTCTAATCCTGTGAAAGACTCAAACAAACAAAGCTTCTGGAAGAAAGAATCAAATGTTCCAGGAAGGTACACCGCACATAAATATAATTTTTGGCTGTTTTTAAAACAGAAGTGTTTGTAACGTTTCCTGTCAACATTAGCGTCAGTGTAAACTATTGACTTCTTTTACTTAACATAATTTATAGAAACCACAAAACATACAAAAATATCTATATTTATAAATTAACCAAACAGGAAAGCTTTATATTTACCGGATTTTTTTAGTATGTGTACATGTGTTATGGTCCAATATGGCAATGAAATCTGCATGGGTCCGATACGGTCGCACCGAGATCTGTTTGCACCCTTCATGCTTACACCCCTATTTAAAGGTTTTGTACTGAATAATTTTTTAATCATGTTTTAATTAGTGTTTTTTTACTATAAGATAAAGACAAGTTTTTTTTATTGTTTTAAAATAAAGTGACATTCTAAAAACGTAATAGGCTTCCTTGAGTGTTTTGTGAATTATTTTGACGAAAATGAATAATGAATACTGTCATGGTGATCAAGACCAAGTTCATTCATATTTTTCATTTTTAAAATCCATTGTTTTACTCATATACCAAACTACATATGCAAATATATAAATGTATTTTACTTTACAGTACAAAGCTACATTGTAGTTATAACAACAATCATGATTTTCAAAACTTTTCCAACATAACAATAATACCAATAGAATCAACATCTAATAATTCAACCTGTATTTGACTAAAAAGTAAGGTGCGAACAAACCAGATACTTTCAGTTAGTAGTTTTGCAGATGCGTTTACAAGAAAAAGTCTGAAATAAAATAAAACTATTGTGGAATGCAAGATGATATTTGGGGAATTTGAGTTTGCCTGTCTTTTTATAGCCTTCAAAGGGCTGTCAGACTTTCATGGTAGGGGTACGGGGTTGAGCTGTAGTTTGCTACATTTTGTAGCTTTTAGTGCTGGAGATGGTTAATTAAAATTTGGTGGTGTTCAGAGGTGTGGCACAGTGCAGTGTACATGTAGTTCTGTGGTGAAAAGACCGACCCTCCTTGCAATAAATTGGTAAAATCTAAGAAAAAGGAAAATAGATTAATACCTAGCAGTTTTTTATGATATTTTGTACTGTACATATTTATAAATTTTTTATCCTGTGTGTACATGGTGTAGATTCCTTCATTTTGTATTGAACCACATGTCACTGTAGCTCTTCTGTAAAAAAAAATAAACCTCACACAAACTTTTGCTAAATATCTGTTTTGTTTAAAAGCGTACAGTAATTGTTTCACACACCAAAAGTTAAAAGAAAAAGAAACTGAATTGATTTAAGTTTCTTTTCTCATGACCATTCACAATTTTACCAAAATGACAAACAAATGGGAGTTTTGACATGCTAAATATTCAATGCACTACTATACCAAGTCAGGTACATGTATCTGACAGACACTAATCAATGAAATAGTATTGAATGGTACTATTCCTTATAATTAGTTAAATAGAAACAGGACCAGTTTTGTCAGCATTTTGTTTTCTGGTCACACTGCAGTGACAATCATCAGTATAACTGGGCTAGTCAGGTCTGATAGTTGTGATTTTGAAATCTTTCAAATTACCTACATGTATTCATGGTACTCAAATGTCTTTAACAAGAGCAAAATCTGAATTTTTTTTCAGCATAAAACCTGTGTATGGAGCCCAACATCCACCTCTTCATCAGTCAATACCAAAAAAGTAAGTTGTTGATACTACTGAATATTGTACATGCATTTCTATTTTATTTTTAGATATTTTATATGACATGTACATGAAATTAAGAATTCAGAAGTTAATGAATATTTAAATATTAATGTGAAAAATACAACAGAATGAACAGCACAATAAGAAAAAATAAAATTTGAACGTTTATGTGTAATTTAATTTTATATTACTATGGATTCATTTATTTTTAGAATACCAATTTTTGTGGATTGAAGAAAATCGTATTTTCTTTGATATTTTTTTATTTTGTTGTTTTGCCAAAGTCTGCATACAAACCTATAGAAATATTACTTTGTGGAACATTTAAATTCTTGGTTTACCTATAACTATGAAATCCTCGAAAATTGGTATCCACAAATAGTAATGAATCTACAGTATGATATGTCATGTATGTGAAGAAGAGAAAAATGTATGATTAAAGTTTTGGAACCAGTAATTGATGCTTTTTGTTGTATCCAGAGATAAAAAAATGTATACAACTAAAAGCAACATTTGATTCAGGATGAGAAGTCTGTTATTGGTGTTATAATGAATGCAAAATCAATTTATAGAAAAATCATTTATAAATTTGAATCATCATTAATTATCATTATTTTATTGTTAGGGAAGAGAAAATGAGAAGTGGCAAAAAGGATGCATTTCATGACTTTGAGAATAAAACATCAGATGCTTGGGATGATGGAGATGATGACTTACTTTTGATGTCAAACATCCCTATGTCATTACGGGATGTTCAGTCAACAGCTAGAGCAGTAATAGACAATCATAGTCGTCAACAAAAGGCCAAATGTGAAACACAGAGAACAAATGCATTAAAAAGTAAGCATGAATAATGTGAAAAGCTAAAGATTATTGAAATTGGCAGACAGTCAATGACATGTGTATAATACCCAACCCCTAAACATTTGAAGAATAAAGAAAGTCTAGTCTACAATGAGTTGAACATGTACATGGTGTAGATTAAATGAGTGACATTCAGATTTGACGTGGAAAATGCATTAAAATCTACGAATTTGTCTTACTTATCATGCAAGAATTATTTAGAAGACTAAAATCATCAAGCAATTATCATATGATAATAGTACTGTAGAATCCGTTGGTTTGTCCTTTCGTTTGTTTGTTCGTCTCACGTTGTACCTGCAACTGTCACTGAACAACTTGACAGATTTTTGAGAAACTTTCACAGAATCTTACTTAAAAGATATTTTTTGGCACACAGTTTCCTATTTCATTTCAGCATCTAAATAATTTTTTAGGTTTACTTTGTCATGACATGGATTTTGTCATTTCTGCTCACTACAGTATACATTTGTATCCACAATTTCTAAACCCCTTTTTAGAATTAATAGAAAATTTCTCAGAATCTTAGCCATATAATGTCATTGTGCAGCACATACATTGTATTTTGTTTTTTATTCACATTATTTTTGGGTTTCCCTAAGCAAATCACAGACTTGGTCATTTTTTGCTAGGAGGGGTAATATTTAGGAAGCTTTGCTTGTAATAACAATGGGCTAAGTACCTCTATTTTGTTTTGTGTATCTTAAAGTTTAGAATACAGACATGCCCAATCGAACTATGTTTCATTCTAAAAGAGATTGAGTCTTGTTTAGTTCTGTCTGCAGTATTGAAATATGGAGTTTCAGCTTGTTCTACATATAAAAAAGAAAAATGATCAAACATAGCTATTTAGAATTTAACTCATTATATAATGGGAGAATTTTGAGATAATATATTGTTAGAACCTTTGACAACATTATTATCACACAATAGCAACAATGATGTTACATGTAAATGTATTTTTCAGGTCATGTTACAGCTGTTCCTTCTGCTTTATCAGGACACGCAGGTCCTGGTGTTGGTGTCCGTCTGAATTATGGATGGCAGCCACCCAAGTCTACACCTATCAAATTCTCTAAACCAACAATTCCTGACAGAGAGGCAGCAAAGTTGGAAAAGTTTAATTCAGTTTTGGCTGGACCAAATACTGATTTAGGTTTGTGTGATAAAAAATTAAGCGTTGGTATTTTTATAAGTTCAGTAAGACACTGTATTTTATATACCTTTCATTCATGTGAATTTTTTTATTTAGGCAATGCAGAGGTATATGAGGTAACAATTTCAAGATCTAGTATGATGTAAATATAAAGAGATTGGGGTACATGTGAATGTGACAGCAATGCAAAATCATTTAAGAATTGAATGCTTCTTTTTGTAAATTCATTGGGGTGTAAAAGCGTTGACCGAAGTACATTTTGTATGAAGCGCGGAAGCGCTTCATTCTAAAAATGTAGGCATGATCAACGCTTTTACAACCCTATGAAATTTCTAAAAGAAGCATTCAATACTTATAATTACATTTTTTGATAATGAAAACAAGATTACTATCATTTATTTACCTGTGCACTTTATTGTGGAAACGTGTGTCATCATGTATGTTACAATTCATGAAATTCATTTTGAAATGAAGAATGAAGCGAGATTGCTGTTAGCCAATCAAAATAACGTATAATAATGAAACATACATCTAATGTAATTATAATAAAATAAAAAGAGATTTCCTGTTGTTAACTTAGAGTCTTTCAGCAATAGACAAGTTTCTATAACATATTTCAGGCTATAAGTTTTAGTGAATCTTGTAAATTTATGAATAAATTTAATGGAGACTACCAAAGATCTTCTGTCAATACTATTGTTATGAGCACATGGGCTGCAAAGTTTTACATGAATTTAGATCACTTTATAGATATTATTGTTTTCCTTAAGCTAGCAAGTTTTCTCAATGACCATTCTGAAAGTCTAACAAAATAACTGTTAGCTTATGATTTAATAACTCATAGTATCTGAATGTCATGAGTCATTTAACAAAAAGTTATGAAACCACATTACAAAATTAGCAAAATAGAAAGAAGGAGGACAAATTTGAATGTACTTGCACTGCAGTATTCAGTAACAGCCAACAACAATATCAAAGGGTTTAACACAATATTCAAACAGTTTTTAAAGTAATGACAAAAAAATGAAAACAACATGTTACTAATTTCATGCGTCCAAGGGGCTTTTCTTGATTTACCTTCATCAGGAACACTCACAGTGTAATATTTAAAAGCCAAGGATGTAAATGACTTCATTTGATCCTGCTTAATTGATTATATATTCTTATATTATATTGTATAAATTCAGATGAATTAAGAAAGTTAAGTTGGTCTGGGATACCAAAACCTGTTCGTCCCACTTCATGGAAGATATTATCAGTGAGTATTCTGTCTAGTGATCAATTGAGAAATGATTCTGTATTTTTAGTTTATCATTGTGTTAAATAATAGATTCATATAAAAGGAGACTGTTTGGACTGTGTGACATAATTTTCTAAATTATTTAAGTCATGCACACTTTGAATAAGTACTTCATGAAACCTCAAACATAAATGCAAGCTTTCACAGTTAAAGAAGTTCAAAGCTATGACAGACTTTTCGGTAGAAAAGATGCTTTCAGAATAATGGTGGTGTCTTTTGTATTTGAAAAATATCTTCAAAAACATGAGACATGAATACAGCATATAATGAAATAAGATTATGTATTAAGCATTTAAGCATGCTGTATTAATTAAAGCTTTCATTGTGAATACATTGACATTAATTTTTACAAGAACAATGTTTAAAAGAAGATCCAACTTCCATCAAAATATAAAAATCAAGCTATATATCTTAGTATTCATGAATATGCACAGATACGAGAATGTACATTAAAAAAAATATATAGTGTATTTCCATTACAGCACAAATCATGTCATGGTTGTTGATATAAATCTTTTTCTTTTTCTTGATTTTTCATAAAACATCATTAAGGAGCTTAGGTCTTCCTGCAAATTAGTATCAGATGGGCATATAATTTCCAGCAAATTTATATATCTGATTATTGAAAGTATGATGATAAATAAAACAAACATGAACCAATGACCTTTTAGAGCTCATCAGGTACAACCTACCTCATATTACATTTATGAGCATTATTTTAGTTTCCTTTTTTGTTGAAATTATTTATTTGGAAAGCATTAATATCAGAGTACACCAATTCAAAAATCAATTTAATATCATGGGTATGGGTATAACACCATAGATTTCTATTTTCAGGGTTATCTCCCTTGCAGTGTAGACAGAAGAGCCCCAACATTAGAGAGGAAACGAAATGAATACTTTGGTTTTATAGACCAGTATTTTGAAACCAGATTTCAAGAAATGCATGAATCAACATTTAGACAGGTATATATTGTTATAACTTACTACAGTTTTAGATTCATTGAATAAAATGAAGTAAACAAATTTGTGATTACTATTTGTGTACAAAGATATCCTCCATGTTATGAGTGTTATATTGATCTTTGACTGCTACCATGCTGAAGAAATGTCCAAATTAGAAATATTGATTACAATATAACTAGAACAGAAAAAAACCCCAGACAGAACAGATTTGTGATTGAAAAGCAAAATCCAGTTTTCTTACAACCAATATAGTAAACATTATCAGAATATAAAAAAATAAAAATGGCCACAAATTATTACTTTTTTTATTTGTGGCATTAAACTTCATTTTAAGCCTCTTCCAACATGTTTTTCAGTAAATGTGGGTGGAGATAATAAAAAAGTGCATGAAATATGTTTTAACAAATTTATAGAATTCTCTAAAAATATTTATGGGTAGAAATCATTTTGGGTGTAGCAGCAGAAGATTCTATTACACATGAAACCTCTGAACTTGATGGATAAAGCTTCATAAATAATTGCTTTGGAGAAAGATATTTGATGTTTTGGTTTTTCTCTTTTGAATTCATCTTGCCATCTGTTCTGGTTATGAAATAGTAAAAAAAAATGATATTTGATGAAAATTGTGTTTATTTGTTTTGCTACCTAATATTTATTATAATGACAATTAAAAAAAAAAATTGTTTTATCACATAAAAAAAAACCTAAATATGATACACATAATTAATATGTCTTCGACTAATGAAAGCTCCACTGGATCCAATACATTGAGAGACCTCTTTTTTTTACATCATTTTTCTCTCTCTAATACTTTCTTGCATAAAAAATAGATGTCTACATAAAATATTATAAAATGATAAATTACATAACCTATAGATTTTTGAATAAAATATTACTTTCAGATACACATTGATATACCTAGAATGAATCCTTTAATACCTATATTTCAACAATTACTTGTACAAGAAGTAAGTTTTCAGGAACCTCTGTTGTCATGGTGATGGCCTTGCCCATGTCTGTATGTTACGCATGTGACATTGTCACATGGTAGTCGTAAGACTTGCCTTATTTCCTTTATTCAAGCATGTCTTATTTGGATTATAGAAAATATCAAAGTTTTGTTTTATTTTTCTTGGCAGTACTTTAGAATACTACAATAATTCCATATAAGGCATGTTTGTTACACAATAGCATGTTGTATGTCACCTTCTGTTTTAAAGCTATCATGAAATCTATTTACTTTTTTGGGTACAATTTTCTTAGCTTTTATAGTGCTCCTATGATTTATCAGCAGAGGCAATCATCAATGACATTATACAAACACTGCATGAGAAGGAGGAGACATTATATGTGTTACTTAAGAAATTTATTTAAGTCCATCATGCAATATTTGTATAATTGTTGTGGGTAAATTAGCTAAAGTCTTTAATGAAAATGGACTTTATATGCTTTTGTAGAAGAAAAAAAACGCTTGTGTGGAGTTATGTCCCCTGATTGGATATCTAGGATTTTGGAATAAATGTCTAGAAAATTGTACCCAACCGAAGTAAATATTTTTCCTTAGGTTTAATAAGATTTTCACGTAAGATTTTATTACAGATATTAAAAGATATACCAAGAATGACCTCGCTAGCACATTTACTGCAGCAAAAGGTTGTTCAAGAAGTGAGTATACAGAACGGGTGTTTGTAACTTTAGTTTACTAACCCTTACTGACACCCAGGACTAACAGTAGTCACTAACTTATTATAACAAACATATAATTATTAAAACAAAAAATAGTAGATAAAAAATTATAACAATCATATAATTATTTACACAAAAAATAGTAGATAAAAAATCATAACTTCATACTCATATGAACTTAATATGTAGATATATCTTATTTTATCTATAGTAAACTAGAGCATATTGATTTCCTTTGCAATATTCCATTCACCACCGTTTTTTCCAAAAATTGGCACACTTTATGAAAGTATTAGGCAGTTTTTCCTCCTTAAGTATGAGGTATAAATGTGTTTTATACCATTTATCCATATTGTCTTTAAATTGATATTAATTTTGTACTGAATTTATTTTGAATCTATTTTGAAGATATTGAAATGCTTTTTTTAGTAGGGATATGTATTCATAATTAAATTGTCATTTATAAGCCTGGATCTCCAATATCAAATGAAAAAATAAATAATGAATTAATACTGAAGTAACTAAATATGTCCGAAAACTTCTTTCACAACCAGGTAAGTGTAAAAAAAATTTTTTTTTTTTATTTAACCCTAATAACATCTACTATTGCATGTACCACAATGATTGAAATATTTACCAAAGGTATAAATGTTTCTATAAGCATGATAAGGGGTAATGTAATTTGAGAGTATATTGATTGAAAAATGTTGCCATATCTATAACTTTGACAGTTTTCAACAGAAGAAATGTCTATCTGCTAAAAGGTTAATTTAAATGTTTTTAAATCATTTAGCATTGTTTCAGAAATCAATTGCATCGTGAATATGGCTTTGAATAAAAGAACGCAAGAACAATATATTTCGTTTTTATAATAAGATATTTTTTCCTGAAATAAAATAACTGTAGACATGCTAGTAGCTTATAATGTATGCATGTATGTAAATGTGGTGCATGGTGTATGTATGTTTATGATGGTCTAATATCAGTTACTTTGAAATATTTAAGTTTATGAAAATTCAAATATGTTAGCTTGTGTTTGTTATTCCACAGTTTCGGGACCAGAACATAAGGGTGTAGCTGATGGTCTTTAATATTCACTATTCAATTAACAATGAAAAGAACTTATACATTTTAGAAATTTACAAAATTTTGCAAGCAACTATGCAAAAAATTTAAAACTGAGATATGTGATAAAACGCATCTATATGTATTACTATTTATTGATCTAAGATCAAACCCATATTAGTACAGATATTTCCATTTTTGCTGATTACATTCTACAGAAACCGCATCTGGTTTTTAAAAAGATGAAATTTTGAAAGTAAATTAAAACATGAGATGACTTAAAGCTTGATGATTTGTTGCAGTACTCAACTACAGTTTTATCTACGGATTGTATGACGTAACACAAATATTTCATTGATATTTGTCTATGTGAAGTATAAGTCGTGAAATTTTAAGAACATGAAAAAAAGAAACAAAAAACAGCCATACTGAAGTTTATTTTGAATTTTTAACTTTGATATTGAATAAATTACATTCCCACATTGTTTTCTCTAGTTAAATTTATTTATACATGTTTAAACTGTATTCTCCGGAAAGCATGATAGTTTTGGTAAAATAATACAAAGACCTGCAGAAGTTTTTGTTTTCTTTTTGTTATTTTTGGTTTAAAATATGAAAAGTAGTTGAAACTTAACTTGAATGATGTATTTAAATTATTGTTAAAGTATAAAAAGAATTGCACCTCCCTATTGAAATTGAATTGATAGCCAACCACTGTAATTAGTCATTTGTATATGTTTTTTTTTTCTACTTCAGATTTTTGAAAGAATACTGTATATATGGGCTATACGACATCCTGCCAGTGGTTATGTTCAGGGAATCAATGATTTAGTTACTCCATTCTTTGTTGTATTTTTGTTAGAATATATAGATAATGGTATGTAAAACTGTTTCTGAATGAGTTTTCATATAGTCTTCAATAATTCTGCAGTTTGTATTAATATATGTTCACAATAAAAAAAAAAAAAATCAGATACAGATAATACAATGCCTTTCTAGTAAGTGATTTTCATTATATCAGGTCAGAATGCACAAATATCAAAATGTAGAAATGAAAAGAATTTCTGAAACAAAATGAAAATATTGAGAAATGATATTATTATTTATTCGAAGTTAAAATTCAATACACATTTTTTTTGCATTTTTTCTATGTCACAATCTTACCATTGAGTTACTCTAAAAGTCTTATGTAAAATTATTGAAAAAAAGTAAAAAAGTAGCTTTCTGTAAAACTGTTTTAATGAACTTTTACATACTGTATTCTTGTAGTTTTCTCACCCCTGTGGTCACTTAGTTCAGTACTCTTTACTGACCAAAACCATGTTATATATATTCTTGTACACAAAGTAACAAATTCAAATTAAATTTTAGAAATTTTCTATAAATGATCATCTTTAAACATTGATATTAAAATGCAGCACTGAAAAAATAGTGGTTAAAATGCAGCACTGAAAATAGTGGTTAAAAAAATATTGCTCATATTACCAATCAAATGAGTTACAAGAGAACATATTTTGTTAGTTTCAAATAAACAGAAGACATATGTTTTGTTGTTTGTCTGAATTTTTACCTTTTTTACGCGATGTATTTGGATTTGGGGGGGGGGGGGGGGGGGACTTTTAAATTATTCTTAGTGTAGGAAGGTTATCCAACTACAATTATGAACAAAGGAGGATATTTCCAATTTCAAAAAATTGCCTTCCATTTCTTACCACAATGCAATTATCAATTATTAGTTCTCACTGCAGAGTGAATATGATCTTTACCCTTCAGTGCTCACAAGCACTTTGATTTTGTCATATACTTCCATATTATATATATATATTACAAAAATTATTGCATTCATACATTAATGCACTTGTTGGTCAAGAACGAAAATGTGATATTAATAAATGCAATTTCAAAGATTACTGCATACAATATCCTCATTGGAATTTAACATGCAATTAATTTAATACAAACCAAGTGCATTTTACTGTACAATGAGTAAAACATTGCAAAAATTTAGAATTTATTGTATTTAATTTAGACAAACCTATTGTTTTTACAGATTTAGAATCTGAGAACTGTGATCTGACTGAGTTACCACAAGATACTCTTAACATAATAGAAGCTGATAGCTACTGGTGTATGTCAAAGTTGTTAGATGGTATACAAGATAATTATACATTTGCTCAGCCTGGTATACAGATGAAAGTTAATGCTCTTAAGGGTCTCATTAAACGAATTAATGGTAAGTAAATGAAGCAAACTTTGAAAGGTTACTGTTAATTCTTATACTGCAGATAAAGATACATCATATTAATTGCCATTTGATTTAACAAATTGATACTCACAATAACAACAACAAAAAATTAAATTCCAAATCAAAGGAATATATCTCCTAAATATTGCCTTCCACTTTTTACTACAATGCAATTGTTAATCTTTAGTTCCCACTGCAAAGTAATAAAAAATTTCTTTTCATTATTAATGCAGATTTTAGCAAATTAAACAAATGCACTTAGAAGTTCATCTTTGGGTGGATGCTGAAAAATTCTTAAAAAAAAAGCAGGAGTAATATTGATATTACAGTTGGGTATTTTATGTTCAAAATGCCATTCATGGCTACTATTTGAATGTGCTGTCTCAATGACATCCACCCCGTCAACTCTTTTTGTTCATAATAAATTTTAAAAACCTGAGGATTTGCATGAACCTGTTGTATTATCTACATGTTTTCTTAGTTGACATGACTTCCTTATTTTTTTGCTGTTTGTATATGATAGAACCTGTGGTTAACTTTCTTCTGTTTCTTTGCAGTCCCTTTATATGACCATTTAGAAGAACAAAATGTCGAATTTTTACAGTTTTCCTTCCGATGGATGAATAACTTATTAATGAGGGAAATTCCCTTACGATGTACAGTCAGACTCTGGGATACTTATCAGGTAAAAATAAACTTAAGTGAATATAATTTTGTCTTACTAGAGGGAGATAATGCAACTATTACCCTATGTTGCTGGCAGTTGCTGCATGTTGACTGTATCAATTAACATAAGAATGCCAGATCCATGTAGAAGATTGGTGGTTCTCGCTGAGTACTTTGCTTCCTCCACCAATTAAAATAGGCCGCCATGATATAACTAAGGTCACTGCAAGTGACATTAAAACACCAACAAACAAATGAACAATAAAGAATTTTGCTGATAACTATTATACTAAGCTATAAAGTTCCTGTTAATCATTAAACAAGATATTCTGTAAGCACAGCTTCAAAAATTTGCATTAAAAAAATCAATGTCAATAAAATATAGCTTATATTCTTAGTATCTGAAGAACCTTCTTAAGGTGTTAGTCTGATACATCATGGTGCCATTGATGATTATTAAGAATTCAGACATGTACTAATATTAATAAATTACAGTGATACGCTTTAAATTTCAAGCTTGTACACATAATGATTTATGCAAAGGAAACTGGATTTTATGTAAAAGTGACTGAATTATATAAACATATGGTGCTGATTTTTGGGTTATCATTTTTTGCCTTGGCTATTCTTTAAATGCAGTTATACCAATGATTTATTTACTAACCATTCAATGTTATTATTTCTCTTTTTATGCACCCATCGTAGGCAATAGGGGCCTTAAGTGTTACCCTTGACCGTCTGTCCTTCCGTCATTCCATCCTTACATCGTCCCATTTTAATTAAATTTTCCCTAATCCAAATTTTATGAAACTTATACTCAATTCTAAGAACCAAAACTCCCAGACAGAGTTCGAATTTGGGCAGTGAGTGACTAACCGTTCTAGAATAAAGCTCTTTTATATTTTGGAAAATTTGCTAATTTTTTTCGTTCTTGCAATCTAGCTTTAATTTTCTTTTCCAAATTTTATGAAACTCATACATAATGCTAAGAACCAAAACTCGCAAACATGGTAAGAATTTTGGCAGAGAGTCACTTACCATTCTAGAGTTATGCCCTTTATAAATAGGAAAATTCCAATTTTTTTCATTTCTGCACTCTAACTTAAGTTTTTCTCATCCATTTTTTAGGAAACTCATACACACTGCTACAGTGAGTCATTTATTGTTCTAGAGTTATGCCCCTATTTGACTTGGTAAATTGCAAAGCTTGAGCGGGGCCATTTGTGTTTTCAGACACATTCTTCTTTTATTTTTTTTGTGTTGTTAAAAGAAAAGCATATGAAGTGAAAGTACACAAAACAATAAAGCTATGAAATACTATTAACATTTTTTCATTGCGTTTTTCAATCATAGAAGTTTCTGGATGGTCTTTATAATAATGAAAAACTCACACTTTAGATTGATATGATTTTGTGTTATTTTCAGTCTGAACAGAATGGGTTTGCTGATTTTCATTTATATGTTTGTGCTGCATTCTTAGACAGATTTTCAGGTGATTGCTTGAGAGAAAAAGACTTTCAGGTATAAAACTTTACTATGTAACACATTTTATCTGAGGATACACTTTTGCTCAAGTGTTTGTCAGAGGTTAGCAACCATCTGAGTTCGTTACTAGGGATAGCCCTCTGAAAGTGGCTTTAGCATTTTCTGTCATTTCAGAGAAAATAATATCTAAAAATAAGAAGATGTTGAATGATTTCCAATGAAAAAACTTTCTACCAGAGACCAAATAATGTAGAATCTAGCATAGGTCACTGTACGGCCATCAACAATGAGCAAAGCCCATACTGTATAGCAAGCATATGCTTTGCAGAGGTTTTAAAAGTTTTAAAATTTTATTAAATTATCAAAATTTAACTGAAATCACCAAATTCAATGGGTTACAGTAAAAATTCCACCAGGAGAGAACATAGTAATATCATTATAAAAAATGACAAAAAACCACAACCATATGTAAATCAATAACACAAAATTCCATATACAGACTGCTCACAATTACTGAAAAACTAACTCTAAGTACCGAAATCAGTCGTTTATTGTCCGCATTTTTTTACTCCAAAATTAAGATTGCCAGGCATGGGTGCGGATGATAGAGTTCTATAAGCAAGAAATAAGAGAAAAACTTGATGTTTGTTTAAGTCCGCCATGTTTTTATTGAAATTGTAGAGGGCACCCTTATTCCTTTTCAAAACTAATAATTTACCTAATCCATATCAATATGCAATTTATATTTAAAAATCCAATATTAACTCATAATTATCAAAATCAAATGCTTCTTAAATTTACCATTTTCTCACTGGAATCTGCTTGCTATTAATGCTGCAAAAAAGTAAAGAAGTCGGCCAGGAACCAGCTTAAACATAGCGATATTTAAACTACAAAACGTAATCTGTTAATCAGTCTGTTTTGGTGTTTCATTCTGCTGCATGTGTTTAATTTTAGCTAAAGGTTCGTCAAACATTAATGTGATGAATATATCTGTCAGTATTTCACTAAAGGATGGAACTGTTTTAGTTTCAAAATTGTATTCTTAAGTGATATCTATTAAGTACAGATTTTCGGCACACTCTCACCGTAGTTGTTTTGCGATTTACATGTTCTATTTCTATATCCGGTTAATGTAAAAGCAACTTTTACAATTCTTTTTCTTGTAAAATTTTGCTTATTTTTACACTCGTCAAATGTTCTAGAATTATTTTCAATTTCTAATTGATGATGCATGAAAATACTGCAAATGATAAAACAGGCTTTGAATTTATCAGAGTTCTCAAAGATGTTTTCAACAAGTGAAAAAAAGTTTTTTTCGTGAATTCCCAATGGTGAAAAGGGGGTTGCGGACAATGTACCAGTACAGAATTTACACGGCCAATTACGGTACTGCTGATAATCATATAGAAATCATGTTTTGATATGTTATTTCAAGGAATATTGATTTATCCACATTGTTTACCATAATTTAGTGTGATCAGCCATTTATTTCACCATTTTTCTCAATTTCAGGGAATATTAATGTTTCTACAGAACTTACCTACACATCATTGGCATGACGAAGAAATAGGAGAACTTTTAGCAGAAGCATTCAAACTGAAATTTATGTTTGCTGATGCCCCTAATCATCTCAACAAAAAGTCATAGCATTAATTAATTTATAGGTTATCTTTTTAAAAAGTGCTAAAAATAGAATTACTATAGATGGATTGAAATGAGCAGGTCTTTGATTGTGTTACTTGATTCTCAATTATAATAACTGTCATTTCAATATACTAATGTTTATTTTTATGCTGAGCTTTGTTTTCTCTTTTAATAATCATTAATTCTGCAGTGTTTAAATTTGGTTTATGCCTCCTCATTATGCCAACATTTCAAGTCTTTATTTAATTTAACGTTAATAGAATGCATGAATTGGCAATCAACATATCTGTGGATGGAGCTAGGTTAAGTAGGGGTTAGAAAAATATTTTTGACATCTAAAATATTTGTTTAGTCCAAAAGTAGTATAAAGGGAAAGGAGATTTATTGTTTTGCTGCTCTGAAGATATTCATTTAAGGATCACTGTTCGTTTTTCTTATGTTTTATTTCTCCTATATCATTTGATTGAAACAATGAACCTACACACAATCTTCCACAGGAACTGAAGCTGTGCATCTGTTGTTTGAATTTTTAATGACATAGATTTCTTGTTGTTTTTTTTATAACATAACATTGCCATATCTAAATATTGGCACTAAACATTCCTTATATTGTGAAGTTGAAAATTTTTATGAGATAAATTTCTTCTCTTTTTTTTTTGCAATTAAGATAAAATATTAAAAATTATCTCATAAGCTTCTCATATCCTCATTTTTGTGGACATTATCGTCTTTCTTTTTGTGTGTTATTGAAATGTTGATTTTCTGTTAATGACTATTTGACAAAAATGTTTATACAAAGATACAAATAATCTTTTCTATTTTTCATACATAGGCATATTTTTCTTCAACTAATATTAATGCGCTATTTGTTCCTTTGCTTAGTTTTAGATTTTCCCTAAATCAGTGGTTTTATGAATTCATGAATAATTCTTAACACCAATCTCCAGTTTATCAGTAGTTTTTTTTAGCGTTATAATATATAGTAAATAATTTCTCTAAAATAAGATAAAAATAAAAAGGGTGCTGTATGTACCATGTGATCTTAAAAATACCCAGGATGGAAGTACACAGTTTATTATAAGGCTTTGTTAAGTTTGGGATTTTATTTGCCAGTTATTTGCTTAACATTAGTTTCTGACTTGTGATATTATAGAAGTGTTCAACATTCTGAGTATTTTCAAATATTGTCATAAATTTCAAAATAGCACAGATACCTTAGTTTGTTTTTATTATTAGTTTGATTATAAATTTGACTTGATTTTTTTTTTTTAAATCTTTTCCAATTTTAACTTGATTCTTAAGAAGTTTAACATTTTGATGATTTTTGCAACTTTAAAGTTTTATTGAAATAAACTTTCTTTAAGTTTCATTTATTCAATACTAATGTTACATTACAAAAAAATTTGAACATTTCCCCATGTAGATAAAAAGAAATATTGTCCTATTCAGTATTTTTTATTTTGACTGTCAACAGAGGTGAACACTTGTGTTAGTTGGCATTGTCTGGATCTATTAGCTGATAACATATTCATTTCTATTATGACTGAACTTAATGAATAATACATGGAGATGAGAAAATTGTCTTCAAATTATCTAAGAATGCTGGAGGGAGGGATGTAGTGAAATTATCGGGGGAAACAATGTGTATGAATCTTTTTCTGACAGATGATTGGACATATATGTAATGAATGAAGTTGTAAATGTTTTGTCTGTGATAAAGTAAACGATTAAGAGTGAAAGTTTTTCATTATAGTGTGATATTCATATGGCATTATAAATGTAACGGTTGTACAAGTTGCATAGTATAAGTTTAACTATGAATTATGATGCAAGGTAACTTAAGAAATTATTTTATGTCTGTATGTAATGTATATCAATGTTGAATTGAAATACTCATAACATAAATGAAGAATGAAATAAGATTTTGTATGAGAGGGAAAACTGAACTAATGTCACATTAATAATACTGCCAAAACGGCATAGTAACTTCTGCTTCAACAGAAAATAACATATAATCAAAGAAATAACTTAAATTACAGTTTTTCATAAGTCAGACCCTGTGTTTTATTGCAAACCAAATAGTTCTATGTAAATTGCCTATCTTTTGGGTGTAGATGTTTCTTGGGGTGGTTTTGTAAAAAAGTTTTCACTAAAAAAATTTCAAATTTGAAAAAGTGTGCAGACATTTTTAGACCTAACTCCGGGTAAATTTCTATTTTTACATGCAAAGATTTCTTTGAAATTTAACAGGGGTAGTTTGATATAGATTAATTTGTACTGTAAACTGCATTTTAAAGATTATTTGATATGACATCATAATGTCTAAAAATTACTTCATTTCACACTCACTTTAAAAATATGTCTGTCTTAATTCTGTATATAAAATTTTCTATATAAAGTACTTATGAATTTAGAAAGGTGTTGTCAATTATCAGATTACCGGTAAATTCCTATGGAAAAGATCATTATCTTTCTAATGGACAGTTGTTAAGGCTTATTAAGTCAACTCTTAATTTTATAAGAGCAATCATATATCTTTTTAATTTATATCTGAATGAAGAGAAGATTTAGAGATTATTTTAGACCTTGTAAATAAGAATATTTGTTATGAATGATACTGTAAATAGAATGTGAAAGTTATTGTTTGGGATAAATATATTTTATTTGTAACATATATGCTACATTTTACATTCAGAAATCTAGAGAAAAATAAATTTATATTGAAATATGTCTGTGTCTTTTTGTTTGATGCATTTATCTGGATGCCTAAATCAGAGTTCTCGAAAACCGTTGATCCAGTCGGTCCTGACTGCCTAAAATCGGCTAGGACCGACAATTGCATGTGTAGTTTAATTTCATGGCTCAAAATTATGGTAATACTTTTGAAAAAGAACCAGTCGTCGGTTTCTTTGGTATTCAGATAGTTTTTGAACTGGTAACTACTGTAATTTAACTTTTGTAGCAAAGCTCAAAATGTTTTCATGTCGATACGGCCCCAAGTTGATCCGTCCCAAGTCCTTCTGTCCCAAGTCGATCCGGCCCCATATTTAAAGTCGATCCTACTCCAATATAAAAAATATTTATAAGGAATAAAATAAAGATATATATGAATTGTAACACATAAATGTTTATGAATTTTATAATAATATAAAAGGTGGACGGTAAAAAAGTTGGCCTTTGACAATATTTGAATATTTAATTTTCATAAGATGAGACATTTATTTGAATATTTTTTAAAAATCTATAAAATTACAGGACCACCAGATTTTTAGTGTTTGTGGTTCCAATGACCACCAGGAAAAAAAAAGATTTTGAGAACTCTGCTAAATTTTCAAGCATTTTAACTGGAGTAAACAGACCTTTAAGAATGCTAAAAGTTAAAGTTTTGTGGAGAAAATCTATAATTTTTAAAATGTAGATATCTTCTATACATGCTTCATTTTCATGGCACAATTTTTCCTTCTGCTTTCTCATTAACTGGTCAGTTTCTATCTAGGTAAATGGTCATGTCTAAATTGTCTGTTTTCTTGGAGTAGAGTACCTCATAGCTTAAATCCCTGACATTTTCTAACAAAAGACATTAAGACTGATATTTGATTTTATCAGCAGTTTGTACATTTTCACTTTTGATCCTACTGCCTAATATTTTTTAGATCATGAAAAGGATCTGATACTCGAAAAGTTTAGGCAGCAATGCCACACTTTCATGTCCATTGGTCTGAATTTTTCAAAGAGATGCTCTAGACTTCATTCATAGAACCTAACAACTATCATTTACATATCGTACAGGTAAAAATTTCATTTTATTTTATATTCCCACCCATAAAACTGTATCTTTTCGTTTTTGTTTAGCTATGGAGTTAACAGTTTGTCTTTGACTTATGATTATGAAAACAATACTTTAAAGATAAAACAGAAATGGGAAATAAAATTTTTTGTGGATTGATGAAGATTGTATTTTCTTTGATATTTGATTTAGTGGTTGTGTCAAGGTTTGCAAAAAAGCCTTTAGAAAGCTTGTTCCTTGTTGAACTTTTAAACTGGCTCAGCTGTATGGACGATATCCACAAAAATTGAAATCCCATGAATAATAATGAACCCATAGTATGTCAACAATTAGAATAAAAGATATGAACATTTACGGTGACCTGTAATTGTTCGTATTGGTGTTCCTACTGTCAGTATCACTCTGCTCAGCTCTTAATAAATTGCATATCATGGCTTTGTGACATCAAATACGTTAACCCGGCCTTATTAACTATGACCTGGACATATCATTGATATCATAATGAATAAACCAACTTTTGTAAGTTTGAACGGAACTTATCAAGTAATCTTGCAGTTTGCTGATGAAAAAAAGAAAAACACTTGTTTCTATCATGCAAAATACACAGATAAATCGATTATCAGATTTTTATCATATTGATATTGTAAAATTGTCAGCTGCTCGACACAATGTGAAGCCTTTTGAATAGGTTCACTGCACTCACTCTTAAAAAGCTTCATATTGTGACTCACAGCAGATATTTTACAATCTCAATATGCAGACAACCTGATAATCGATACATAGGTTTATGCATAGTTGTCTTGTTATCAATCATATCACATCTCATTATACAACTGCAAAATTATTGCGGCGGTATAATGGTATGGCGATGATGTTGTCAACATCGTCATCTGAAGACATTTGGTTTCCAGACAATAACTTGAGTATAAGAATATAAGAATATGGATCTCTATAAAATTGTACCACAAGTTTCCATACCACAAACAGAATGTTGGGATTGTTTTTGGAGGTTATTGTCCTAGCTGTGTAGGAATTAGGGGTCAAAAACAAGCATTTTTCTTATTTCAGGACAATAACTTGTGAATAAGTATGGATCTCTATTAAATTATACCACGAGGTTCTGTACCAAAAGAAGGTTGGGATTGATTTTTAGGGTTATGGCGTTATAACCGTCAAGGAAAAAGGGGGAAAAAGGGGCCAAAAAACAATACTTTTCTATTACTTTGTATAAATTGTTTATTTCTTGTCCAATTTCAATGGGGTTTACTGTGACTTGACTGTTAGTGTTGCTCTCCACCTATTGTAGATTATTCAAAATTCTGACCAAATTGCAATTTATTTTATCAAACCAAACAGTTCAACTGGTCAGAATTTTTAACAAACTGCTGCAGAAAAACACAGTCAAGTGCTGAAAGTGCAAGGTGATAATATGAAGCATACTTACAATCCTATAAGACTTTAATTCCACTTCAATGCATGTGTTATTATGAAAAATCAGTCTAAAAATTTCTATAAAAATTTTAACGTAAATGTCATGCAAAAGGTGACAGGTAGTAATTTTTGAAGTCATAGTAATTCAAAGTTTTGAGTTCTTGGTGTTCTTTGACATGCTGAATCTAATAATGTATTAAGTTTTTTGATTTTGGGCCCCATTTTTAAATTAGTCCACATTGAGGTCAAAGGGGTCAAAATCAAACTTAATTTTATTAACCGGATTTTCAAGTAAAAATCGGTTATTGATTTGGGGATGTACGGCGGGCGGCGGTTGCCAAACAGTATCCATTCATTTACATGAAAACGCATTGAAGAATTTTTTTCAAATTTAGATATGTTGTTTCCTGTGACGAAATGAAGGTCAAGTTCAATTCTCACGATCTTAGTTTTTCTCGTTGTTCAGTTATAGCCCTTTCCCAAGAATTCAATTTTTGATGAATTAATCCATTGCTGTACAAAGGGAAATACCTCATTTTTAAAAAGATTTTTAAAAGACATTGTATTTATGATAAATGACATTTTGGATTTTTTTTTCTTTTCTTAGATAAATTGTTTGAAGAATTTTGTGGTAGGTTTGTTTGTTATTCTGTATAAACTAATAATCTGAATACTATATATATAATTTTTTTTTTATGAAGTGAACTCCTTTGATAACATAATAATTTATTTTTATTAACGGATATGTTTCATTACATTACATTGTGTAGAAAAAATTGTTGACTTTGATAGATAAGCTGCAGATCTATATTAGTTTGTGATAAATGAAAGAAAAAATATTTCGAACTATTGATTATATTTGATTATGATTTGAAAATAGATGTACATTGTGTTACATCATATCTAATTTTAGAGAACTATATTAAATCATATCTAATTTTAGAGAACTATATTAAATTATATCTAATGTTAGAGTACTATGGTAAACCATATTTCTGTTCAAAGGGAAATAACTCAAACTTATTCCATGAACCAGTAATGATAACATCAAAATTTCTTTATAACTATTTTTTTAAGTCATGTGTGTTCTGACGGTAGATGTCACAGTTGTTATGTGGTATTTTATTTTTGTTGTGTGTGTTAATGTTTAATTTTTATATGATCCTGTTTGGGGTTCAGATTTGCAAATATCATTTTCATTATCAATTAGATAATAATCTATTTTAAATATTCAATCACAATCCAAATTCAGAGCTGTTTTAAGCTTAAATGTTGTGTCCATACTTCCTCAACTGTTCAGGGTTCCACCTCTGCAGGAAAATCTGGTTTGCTGTCACTAGACAGCCTCTTGTTTAACAAAAATTTAATTCTTGGGATTTCTTTGATATGCTGAAAATAAACTTGTATTTATATTTTTGATATTGGGCCCAGTTTTCAAGTTGATCCAAAATTAAACTTTGTTTGATTTCAACAAAAAATTAATACATGGGGTTCTTTGATATGCTGAATCTGGCTGTGTTTAAATTTTTGATTTTGGGCCCTGTTATCAAATTGGTCCACATTAAATTAAACTTTGTTTGATTTCATATAATTTAATAGTCTTCTGATTGGCTGAAAGTGCTTTGTCTATCAGCTCATTGACATAATTGTGTCTTGTGACCGTGACGTCACCTTTAATCCTTAAAAATAAAATTTTAAATTAAATTATAAGGAATGACTGTAATATTTTTTCTGTCTATTCGAAATAACCTTAAAAATGTGGTCCACACTTTTAAATAACACGCTACATCAACGTGGGTTATTCAGTGTACACCACATTTTTGATGTTATTTCTTCATAGACAGAAAAAATATTCCAGTCATTCCTTAACAAAAATTGAATTCTTGGGTGTCTTTGATATGCTGAATCTTAACCATGTACTGAGATTTTGGATATTGGACCATAATACAGTCAAACCTTGTTGTGTCGAAGTCGAAGGGACCGGATCAAAGTATTCGACTTATCCAAGGATCGACTTATCAGACATCGAGTGTGTCGTCATAAATTTGGAATGCATGAAATACGGTATGAGATTTGCGTAAATTAGATACTTTGAACAATGTGCCTTTTTTGATATGACACTTAATGATTGTGTATTCAATCTCCATATTTTTTGGTCCTTCATAATAATTAAACACACAAGTACAGATACAAATCATGCACAAATTAAAGCAATAGTATACACAAATATTTACAAAGGTCAGTCACTATAAATGATGATATCACTCGCGGAACGAAATAAGTTCTGAACGGTCTCTGATGAGGTCGTCTGCTTTACATTAAATCATTATGAATTTATCATAATTGTCTTAATCCTTTTATTTATTGTAATTAATGGATTTTATTTCCAACGAATCATTTAATCTCCGCTTGGGTCATTTAAATTCTATTCGTTTTTATGTCAGATGAAATATGTTCAACACACTAACGTTCCACTTGAACGATCAACAAAGGTGTTAATTACCGGTCACCATAAACATGTCATTTTAACTGTTATACAAACAAGTATGTTTATTCAGCTTTAATCTCTTTTGAAAATCATTATGTTACATAAGAAATACATCTGATTTGGATTTTTATCATTAGGTATGCATCTTTCGAAAATTCTTATTTTTGAATTTCGAGACATCGGGGTCAATTTACATTAATTTTACATCGACAGGACTATAAAATTTACTCAACTTAACCGAGTATTCAAATCAACCAAGTTCGACTCATCAGAGGTAATAATGCATTGATCTAAAGGGAATTTTACCAGGACCGAGAAATCACTTCGACTCATCCGAGTTTTCGACACAACCGAGTTTGACACAACGAGGTTTGACTGTAGGTAAATTTCAATTTTTTAAGTTCTTAGACAACATTTATTCTGTGTCAGAAACCTATGCTGTGTCAAATATGCAATCACTATCCAAATTCAAAGCTTGAATTCTGTGTCCATACTTGAACCAACTGTTCAGGGCTCGACCTCTTCGGTTGTATTAAGCTGCGCCCTGCAGAGCTTTTCTCATCATTGGGTGTCCGTTGTCATCTGTAAACTCTTACAAAAATCTTCTCCTCTGAAACTACTTGACCACAATCATCATTAGGGTATTTTAGTGTAAAAATGTGTCTGATGACCCTGCCTGCCAACAAACATGGCCGACATGGCTTAAAATAGATCATAGGGTTAAAATGCAATGTTTGACTTTTATCTTGAAAACCTTTAAAGATAGAGAAAAATCTGTCTATAACATCAAAACTGGCAAGCGACTTCTTTTTGTAGTTATTGCCCTTTAACAACAAATTTTACCATTTTTTTTCATTTTTGCCCATTATCTTGAAAAAATTATAACAGATAGAAACTTTAAATAACAAAAATGATCAGCAAGACAAAATCTACAAATAAGTCAGACGACCAAAGTTGTTAGTTTGACTCCTTATTGAAGTTATTGCCCTTAAGTGACGATTTTCCCCAATTTTACATTTGGCCTTTTATCTTGAAGACTATAAGACAGATAGAAACTATAAAAAGCAAACATGATCTACAAGACAAGATTTACAAATAAGCTAAATTCCATCATGGCAGAAATCTTCAGTCGACTCTTTATTTGAGTTATTGCCCTTTAATGATAATTTTTACCATTTTTTGGGGTGTTTTTGTCTATCATCTTGAAAACGATAATAGATAAATAGAAACTTTAAGAAAGAGAAATGATCAGCAGGATAAGATCTACAAATACATCAACATGACTGAAATTGCAGTTAACCATTAATACTGTTATTCCCTTTAAATGATATTTTTACAAAAAAGTAGAAATTGTTGAAGATGCAGGCAAGCGACACAGGCTTTTTAGAGCCTCAAGTTTATTTTTGTTTGAAAAAAGACTAAAGAAGAAATGTAATGAGAATCTTTTTTATTATTAATTGTTTATAATAGAAATAAGTAGACTTCTTAACAACAGAAACTACAAGTACATTGTATATGAAGAAACAAATATAATACTAATCAGTTAAACAGTTGGAAGCCAGGTGCTCAAAAACAAAATATATAACGGTTATAAAATTGAAATATATTAATCATTCTAAATTATAGAGTAACAGTGGTCAACATTTGTGTAAATTGGTGTAACAATTGAATCTGAAAATAAGACAAAGTTACAAAAAAAATCCCATCAATGCAAAAAATGTGCAACAATATAGGTAAATATGTCTGAACATACTAAGGTTGCAATAAGGCTGTCTCAGAGTAATGACATAATATTATTTAATGTAACTGATGAGAATGCAAGGAAGGGGAATCACATATCCAATGGTAAATATTCACATTTACTATTACACAAAACTTATCAAAAGCCTTGAGATGTTACCAATTTGAAAGGTGTCTGTGATTTGCTGGTTAAGCATTTTCACGGATTTTTCTTGCCATGAAAAGTTCAAAATCACAACATTTTTCTATTATGCTTTGTTTAAATTCTTCCAAATATATAAAATATGACCTGTCTTACAATCTCAATCTAGTCAAATAAATTATATAAAAAATAAAGCTCTATATGAATACTTACTGTATATATTACCCTGTTATGACTTCAGTTGTTTCATTTTTCAGATTGTGCATTATCACAGTTTATCTAATGGCAAAAGTTAATGGTTTTGATATTTATTCATTCATTTACTGTAAACAGACTAACTTTTGCAAGCAGAGAATAATGCCAAAATGGTCCTGACTATGACAAACTTGGATCTTCTCTAGTGTGAGGGTCTGGATGGGGGTCCTTCATTTCTTTTTTCTTTATTCTTCTATACCATTTTTCTCTATTCTTAATTTTTTTTGTTCATTATTCTCTATTCTTTATCTTTTTGGGCCTGTTATTTTCTATTTTTTTCCCCGTAATTTTTCTCTATTCTTTATTTGCTTAGCCATAATTATTCTGCACTTTTTGCTATTATTTTCTATTTTGTAAACCCAAGGCCCTCTAGTATAAATTCATCAACATAAAATCTAGTGAAATCTACAAAATTGTTCACTTGAATCACTGCAATAACTTTTTGGTTTGTTTGGTTTTTTTTCTTTATCAATTACAAAGTTTTCATGTTGACTTTGAACAGCTTTCCCCCTCACTCTGAAATATCTTCTTCCCAAAGAACCTAAATTTCAATACTTCAATGGTAGTTGTTTGATTAAGCAAACATAACAAATAACGGTACTGTCTATAAAATGATATAATTTATGTAAATATTGTACAACAATAAAATTCAAAATTATAACATGACTGAGACTTACTACTTATTATAAATATGATCTTTTAATAATATATTGGACAAATAATTTTATCACATGGAATGATATTTTCTGCTATGGGAATAAATATAAACAATGGATGAACTGTTCAAAATACAAACTTGTAAATAAATGTCAACTCAAAAATAGGCAAAAAAACAAAAACATCAAGCAAGCAGTAAATATTACTGTAAAATCAAACCTAAATCCTTAAAACCTACTGGATGAAAAAAAGTATAGCTTTTTTAAATACTGATAAGTTTATTCTTTAGCAGGATTTTTTTGGCAGTCTTTAAACAAAATAAGTCATTTAGAATTGTTATGATAAAAGCCATTAAATTGCTTAAATGTTTAAAGTCTTTCATCCTTTTATCAAAAATATGTTAATATCAGTGATAAATAGACAGGATGCTATAATCTTGTCATTTTAAAGAAGAAATGGGATTGTAATAAAACCATATCATAATAGACCACTTTCGAGTTCGTTGCATTTCCGTCAAAAACTTTGGTTTTAGTGAACATCATCTGTGCATTTAGGGGCAACGTCACTTCCTTCCAATGTTGAGTGAGCGGTTGAAAAAAATATGATGCTATATCGCACGAATTATTCGGCAAATTAAATTCTTATAATTGATAATTAGCACTGCTGTCATTAGGGAATTGTGATTAAGTACCTACGGAATAAAAATTATTTCTAATTTAGCCTGCATAATGATGATCACAAAGACACTTGATGAACTTTGATAGTGCAGGGTTTCAGGCGGTCCCCTATGTCTAGTAAATGACGTCATAAATGCACGCATAATTGATGAATTTTTCCGGTGAAGCACATAACTGGAAAGTGGTCTATTGAGATATAGGTTTTGGCGAAAAAATAAAAACAAGGTCAAGCATTAATTAAAAGACAACTGAATATGATCAATATCTCTCTTTGTATAACACATTCTGTGACAACATATCTTTTTGGATAAGAATGCATTGCAAGCATTAATAAAAAGCATGCAGCATGTTTGCAACCATGTTTTTCAAGAGCTGTAGAATGCATTGCTAGGATAGGAACTTCACAGAAAGTTTTGGAAAGCATGCGGCAATATGATTTGATTGCCTATTGATGGTGGTCTGATTGCAGTTGGTCATGGTTTAATTGAAAGGTGGTTGCCATTTGATTGCAGGTTGGTCATGGTCTAACTGAAAGGTGGTTGCCATTTGATTGCAGACTGATAACTGTTTACTGGTAATTGCAGGTTGGGGTCTTACTTTCAATATGTTTACAGGTTGACATTCTGCAATCATCAACCTGGTAGCAGCTAGCAGCATGCTTACTGCAAGCTTGTGTGTGACAAGCGTTACTGCAAGTATGTAATTTGGTTTGGGTGTTGCTCATACTTTTAAAAATATTAATAATTAGGTCTTTAACTGCTACATTTGCAGTTGTCCTTAATTAAATGCACTAAGTTTGTAGGCCTAAAGAATTATGTAAAACAAACTTCATATATGTTACTGTTAAACAGGTCTGAAACAGACTAATGTCTTATAAACATCTGAAAGCTAAAACTCAATAAATCAAATGTAATTTGTATTTTTAATATTCATGGGAAAAAATAGTGGCCTTATCATACCTTCACCTTTAAACTTAGTAGGAAAAATCTCAGTCATAGAAATATGTGAAGCTGAAATTAGTAAAATTGTTCTAGATGAGCTCTTCACATATAAAACAGAGTACATTGTATAAGTAAAATCAGACACACACAAAAAATTCTACTGTAATAAGAGGATACTAGTTGCAAGTCGCTTAAAATCATTGTTTCAACCTTTAAAATAATGAATAAATAATAAATAATGCTGCATGTTTTTGATTTAAGTTAGGTAATAAACACTAAAAAAAGTTAGAAACAACAATATCACAGTTACTACTAATACTAATACATATACTAATAACTCGATGAAAAATTTTACTAGTAGCTTGCCAAAGTTGGTCTCGACACATCAGAAAGGTTGTTAGCCATGTTTGCCATGTGAATGGGAAGGATCATGAGGACTTTTATGTAGTTCCAAGCTATCAGAGACGTGAATCAAAATTCATAACATCCTATCAATGATCTTTCTAAGAGAAAAAACAAATGAGAATTGTTTGTTACTTCTGTTTGGCATATTGTTAATGATGGCACAATAGTTTTAAGAATACAGTATGTTTTAAATCTTTTTAATAAGACAAAAGGAAAATGAATCAAGAAATGAAAGGTATTCATTAATGTGTCAAAACCCAACAACACCAAAAATAGAAAACATCTAGAGGTTAAAATACTGCTTTCAACAGTTGATAGGTCATTATACAATATAGCAAGCTCTTCATGACTTTGAGTCAAAAACAGTTATGAATGAATCTAACCAAGATTATCAAATATCTGAAATCCCAATCCCCTAATTTACAGACACACATTAAGGTATACAAAAAGACGATTGACATGGTTCTGAACAGGCACATAAACATGAGGGATGTTAAATGGAAATTTATCTGCTGGTTCTAATCTACTGATACCAGCAGTGTCAACCAATCAAACAGTTGAACCAGTATTAGTATTATTTAATATCATATTCTAGAATTTAAATCTACAAAAACCTTTTGTGGTCAAACAACAACTAAAACAATAGACAATCTCAACAAATATACATTTATGTACAACATTAGGGTATGTCCCTACATAAAAAAGACAAGAAACTGCCTGATATACTCCTAAACTGATTAACCAAGTCTTGACTCTTTTACTTCATAGTTAAAATTAGAAAGAGAGAATAAGTGTTCAATATGAACAGATTGAAAGATTGATTGATTGGTGTTTAGCGCCACTTTCAGCACTACTGTGCAATTTCAAAGCGGTCAGCTTATATTGGTGGAGGAAGCCGGAATGCCCAGAGAGAACCACAACCTTTGGCAGGAAAACTGACAATCCTACTCCATTAAGATTTGAGTCAAGAGCACCTGCTACGTGTGGGATTCGAACTTACACAACCTAAGTGTTGACAGGCTTGTGATACAGTTGTTGAACTACTTAGACCACTCGGCCACTGAGGCCCTTGAAAGATTGACAAAGGATGACTAAGGATGGAAAAATCTTACAAAAAAATGCAAAACCAGTGCATTCATGTAAAAAAATCCGACATAAAATATCACATGAAAAATGTTAAGAATAGTTACATAAATAGAAATTATTCAAATTAAAATCCGTGTAATATTAGTGGTATATTTCCTGCTTCCCTTTTGTGCTTAATTAAAAAACAGAATATTCAAAGGACATAATTTACAGGCATAGTTATTCAAAATGAATACATTATGTAATATATATTTAAAGCTAAAATAGAATTGGACAGATATATTCTAATCAGCAGGCTCTTTACATTGCCTGTCACACTATGGACAGGCAACAAGGCAAAATTATATTTCTTCTCAACAGTCATTTTCAAATTGTACAGTAAAAGATGATTTCTTAAATCTTATTTAAAAAAAGATGAAAAATAATCATCTAACAGAAATAGCGATAACTTCAGCAAACCTTTTAGTTATTTTATTAACTCTTATCTTTTTAATCCCTTTTAAATTAACATTTATACTCATGTTTTTGCAATTGGTTGTATGTAAATCCATAACGTATTTCCATTATATGTTCATTGTTAAAAATACATTGTAGTTTTAACTAATTTAAAGTTAACGTTACATTCAGTATAAAACATATAATATATCAATTGTTCATTTCATAGAAACAAATTATATATATGTAACAGGAAACACTGCAATAAAGTTTGTATAAATATATATAAACAAATCTCATACAATTTTTGGCTGGTGAAAAAAAAAAATTTCAAAGGTTAAAAAACACGCTGAGATTCAAGTTTGGCAATTGAAACTAAGTTTGTTCATTTAAAGTTGAAGTTAAAAAGTCTGGAAATAAAATAATCATTAGAATGTCTTGTCTCAATGTGCCAACAGTCAAATAAGAAAAAAAAATCTTTATTAACTCTCAACCAAGTTACTTTATAATTATACAGAAGGTCTTAGTTATCTCCCTTTATTGCTTTGAGCGAAAGATAAAATGTCTATTATCTCATTTATCTAACTTAGTAGTAGTTTCTGACTTATTATTCTCATAAATGATGACATTTAATGAAAAGTTTCATGAAACAGTACTATATTAGACCATTTAAACCAAATTCATGTAGTAATACATATTTTTAGTATTATAAAGTAATTTAAAAGTTAAAATAATTAAAAGAACCTAGATTTGGAATTTAAGTTCTTAGTTGAATAGATATATCCCTTGTTTCATTTGTCATTACCATTGACTTACATATAGCACTTTCTGTTTAATGTATGTTTTAATTATTATGAAAATAGCACTTTTAATTATTATAAAAATAGCACTTTGAATCATTCTGAATTGACTGAATAACTTCTTAAAGGAATATTGCTTCAAGGTTATAATACAAATATTTTCAAATAATGGTCAAATAATGTCATTAGCACAATCACTGTTAATGTTTCATAAAAACCTTTTCTCTTGTGAGTTTGGCATTGAAAAAATGTTTTTCTTCTTGTAACGGCAGATAATTGGGAAGTTTACGTATCTAAACCTTTGTTTTACACACACTTGGTTATAACTAAACATTACTGTTCTTTATATACAGTTTTGAATGTATTCTTTAATAAAGATTCTGAATAATTTATATCACAGTTTGATACCCTGTGAATCTGGAATCGTTACAAATCTTCATTGCTGCCTTGTAATTAGTAATTAGTACTGTCCATTTACAATTTGCCAGCAGGTTCTGGTTTACTCCATTTGTATGTCCCAGTGTATATAAAATCCCTGTCATGACAGAGTTTATCACTTTCCTTTGGACCACGGCTGAAAAATAAAACATTCTGAAAATATGTTCATATTTGCATGAAATAAATGAATAAAAAATCTTAGTCTACAAACAAAATTGCTGTAGCTTTTGTAAACCTGTTAAAACTCAATAACAGCGTCCCATTTAGCAAAAGGGGTTCAAATAACACAAAAAAAAACAGTTATTACTTAACTATGATATCAAAGTTTCCCAATAATTGATTGATTGGTGTTTAATGCCACTTTCAGCATTATTGTGCTATTTTGGGGCAGTCAGTTTTTATTGTTGGAGGAAGCCAGAGTGCCAGAAGAGAACCACCGACCTTCGTAAGGAAAACTGACAATCCTTGTCAATTAAGATTGGAGTCGAAAGCCCCTGCCACATGCTGGATTCCAACTCACAACCTTAGTGTTGACAGGCTAGTGATAGTTGACTACTAAGACCACTCGGCCACCATGGCCCCTAGTTTCCCAATGAGGTAGGTGTATTTTAGTAAAAGACCGTAGAAAGAATTAGACACAAAATACATGAACATTAAATCAGGACCTTATAGGAATGCAACAAAGAATCTTTAGGAATAAAATTTAAGGGTTCAATAGGCCCGGATTGCTCACCTAACTATGGTGCTTTACCATGATAATCATAAATAGCCTAGCAGTATTGCACCCTGGCATAACTGGAATTTGATGCTACGCTATTACAAAATTATGAGTCTCTTTACATTGGATGTTATGGCTGGTATAGACCCATTGCCAAATAGCTTCACCAAAATTTGTTGAGAAAAAAAAGACATTTCATGGAAAATTTAAATTAGTGGATTGGGTATACAAAAAAAATTGACATAAATGTAGTTAAGCTGATGGATTACTGGTTCTATTATAAGCAATGTTTTCAAATATCTACTGTTTGGTATTTTGTAATCCTACAATTAGAGCAGCGGTGTGTTTTTCCTTCCAACTTATTCCAAGAGGTTACATCGGATCATTTACGCAAATCTCCACAGTGATAGGTTTCTCTTGAAGTACCATCAATTTGAACATGAGTTAGTTACATTTTACATTAATATTCAACTACCAACAAACTGTCATGCTGTTCAGACCCTCAGTAAAACCTTACTGTCTAGTTTAAATGTGTCATTGAAAACTGAAGATGGATGTTTTTTTCATTGAACATTTATATCCATGATTGGCTCTGACCCTTGACACTATGCCAATTGGTTTACAACAAATAAAAGAAGATTTCCAATGTCCCCAGCATTGCACATATTTTATCTATCCAAGGTACAAGGGCAATAACTAAAAAAAACCCTTTTTTTTTTGTTATTTAAAACTTTTTATTACTGGTAATATCATAGAGAAATGAAGGCTTCAGAGCAAATACAATGTGATTTCCATTATAACTAATATTTCCAAGGGCATAACTTGTTAAAACTATTTGATCAGCACTTATTTTCGAAAAAGTCAAAGACATTGCTGATACAAACCTATGATATAAATTTCATAAAATTCTGGCAATAATTGTACATATGAGAGCGCTGACAATGCAATTTTCCATATAATCAATATTTCCAAGGGGCATAACTTTTTTAAAAATAATTGATCAGCACTGATTTTGTAACTCGTCAAAGACATTGATGATATAAACCTATAATATAAATTTCATAAAAATCATGACAAGAATTGTACACATTAGAGCGCTCTTAAAGCAATTTTCCATATAATTAATATTTTCAAGGTGCATAACTCTTTTAAAAATTATTGATCAGCACTGATTTTCAAACTCGTCCAAGCTATTGATGATATAAACCTATGATTTAAGTTTTATAAAATTCTGGCAAGAATTGTTCACATGAGAGCGCTAACAATGCAATTTCCATATAATTAATGTTACCAAGGGACATAACTCTTTTGAAAATAATTGATCGGCACTGATTTTCGAAGTTGTCCAAGACATTGCTGATATAAACCTATGATATAAGTTTCATAAAAATCTGGCAAGAATTGTACATGTGAGTGGCTAACAAGACTGGACGGACGGATACCTGGTATTTCTATGTCTCCTACAACGCATTGCAAGGGGGAAAATAAAGATTCTGTGCATATTTCACAGTTGGTTAAAATGCAGTAGGATTTCATTTGAAAGGAATTAAATAGAAAGATGTATTTTACATCCAGCTTGTAACGGTAATACTGTTTATAAGCTTATGAATTTAAGAATTGTCCTTAAATCTGTCTCCTTGGCTCAAATAGACTTATTGATAGAAGTTTTAATTATACTGTTGTCATTCAATCACTCTATAGTTCAAAGCAATACTAAATTGTTTCTCTTTTTTTCAATATAGTTTTTTCGGGCATTGCACAAAATTATTGAGTTGTGGTATGAAATTTTCTTTGAAGTACAGCAAACAAAATTAAGAGTTAAGGCTGGCATGATTTCTTTTAAGCAGGTTAAGTACAGTGTAATTTGTTATTTATTTTAGTTTTCTTTTGTATCACTTTTTTAGATTTAAGTGCTTTTCATGTATAGGTTTTTAGTGTTATTTTAGGTACATTTGTCAATCTACTGATTGACATCAAAAAAGGGGAGGGTCGAGATCTAAAAACTAAAAAAAGGTTAACCCTGCCACATTTTCATGCGTGTGACCCAAGTCAGCAACCTCATCAGCAGTCGTCATATGTTATATCTTAGTGTGTTTTGTTATTTGGATAACTAAGTGTTAATGGCAGATGTCTGATAGTTTTGGTTTAAGTTATGCATACTAGGGAATTGTTACAATTTAGACTTGACATATTGTACAGACAACAATCTATTTTGAAGTCTATGTAGATGTCATTTGATTATTTTTGGCATGGGGTTGCTGTCTTATTAATGTAAACCATGAATCTCCTTTTCAATTATACAGTATACAAGAACATCTAGAATTCAGTCATCTACAGAAAAAACATTAGAAAGTAAATGACAAAACCAAAATTCAAATAAATTTTGTGTCATAGCATTGTATCATAATATAATAAATATTTGTAATAAGGGTTATTCATTATCACCAACAAAAAAAAACTCTAAGTTTCAAGGTAACTAAGGGGAATAACTCTTAATCTGTAAATTTTAAAAGCATCAAAATCAACTTGATCTGTATTTTATGATCCCAGCCATTGTGTTCGAATTCAAGATATGTTCAAGTTGTACTTAATATTCATCCAGATATAAAGTAAAATAAATGAAGAATGTGTCAATGGGATACAGATGCCCCAGCTTGAAAATATACGGCAACTTCTGTAATTTTTCAATTTACAAAGGGACATAACCCAAGAACAGCAAAAGTGACGTCACCCAAATTTGAACTTGATCTGTGTTTGGTGGTAATAAGCATTGTGTATAAGTTTTATAACATTTGGAAGTTTTATAACATTTGGTTGAGACAAACTAAAGTTAGAGTGCAGAAATGACAAATTTAGCAATTTTTGTAACAAGTATTGTAGCGCAGAATGACAAATTAAACAATTTTTCCATTCATAAAGGGACATAACTCAAGAATGGTGAAAGTGACGCAATCCAAATTTCGAACTTGATCTGTGTTTGGTGGTAAGAAGCATTGAATATAAGTTTTATAACATTTGGTTGAAGCAAACTAAAGTTAGAGAACAGAAACTAATTTTGGAACAAACGGATGGATGAAAGGAAGGATGTATGAACAGAAAAGGGTAAAACTTAATGCCACCTCCGTCGCAGGGGCATAAAAATATGTTTTAATGTAACCAAAGGTAAAAACTCTTAAAAGGTAAAAGTCAATTGAAAACCCTCAAAATCACACATGACCTGTATTTTATGATCCATGACATTGTGTTCAAAAGATTTGGACAATTGGTACTTCAATTATTATCCAGAAACCAAAAAATATCATTTCTTAAGGTAACTATAATGGCATGACTATTGATCAGTAAATGTCGAAACCTTCAAATTGAAAATTGTGTTGCAGTTTTAATAGATTAGTTCAAACAGAACTATCGTTATCATCTGGATACTTTAGAAAACCCAACTGTTAATGTAAGTAAGTGGCATAGCTCTTGAACAGTACTTGAGAAAAGTGTGACCAAAATATTCCTAAGACAAGAGGAGGAAGACAAACAGACAACAGACAAACAGACAAACAGATGAACAGTTGGACAAGGTGAATACAATATAGCCCCCACTCCTAGATTAGGGTATCAACTAAAAAACCTAGTTCTAGCTTTCCAGTAGTCAATAAGTATTTATGTGTATTAGTCATGAGTATATAAAAAATAGTTTGAATGTAAATATATTTATTAATCAATGAAACAGTACATGTATATCTCTCAGAAATTTATAATGTAATAAAATATTAAGTACATAGTAGGCCCGTAAATCTACAATGCTAATGTTTCCTTGTAAGTTATAAATAAACGTCCAGGAGTTGCGACCTCAACGTCATGGTAAACCAAACTTTGAACTGATATGGGACAGACAAACAAAGGAACAGACAGACTATTGGGCGAATTTACAGACTGGAAAACATAATATGTGCCTACTATTGACGGTTGGACATAAAAATATTTTGAAGTCCTATCTCAACAATTAAAAAAAAAATTCCCATCTTTGAAGCCAGAATTATTTACAATGTCTTTTCAGTAAAAGAAGCATCTTGTTAGTCCACTGACACAGAACAAAAGGGTGCTGGTTGAAATAAACACAAACTTATCTGACCCTGCAACATATAAATAAGCCTGTCCCAAGTCAGAAACCTAATCAGTGGGTGTCTATTACTATAACTTTATGAACTTTGTAAATTGGAAAATTCCTTATTGTGGAGGATCTTTGATAGTACTTTTGAAACTTACTATGATTTAGAGCTCAATATATTTTATATCATTTTTATCATTGAGTTGCTTTTTCATTGACCACCTCGACAGTTTTCATGCTCATCCATCAATGATGTCTCATTGAAATTTACCTTTATCTCCTTTATTCATATCTTAATATCTTGAGATTCATACTTCCAGAATAATGGTTCACATGTATAGATCCTCATAAATACATTAGAAATCCTTTGAAGTTAACATTTCTGGCGAGATAACTCCTTAAACTTTAGTTTCAACAATGTCAAAATTGTCTTTTCTCTTTTGTGTTAGAAAGTTGAAAATTAGTAGAATTTTTTAATGTACAAAAGACAATTAGTAAACTTCAGGTATCTATACTACAGCAAATTGTATATTAATCTTTATTCCTGTACCATTAGAAGTAAAACAATTTGAATAAATATGTGAAATATGATACAACTAAATATGAGATAAATTGTTTTTCAACTGTTCTGTTAATAATATCAATGTATTCTACTTTTTGATAAGTGCTCCTTCTACATACTATATGGTGATTTGTATTAAAAAAGAAAGTTTCGATAAAGTGTGAATTTTAAGTATTTTCTGAAAGCCGTGAATAATAAGCCATTTCTTGAGATTTAATACTGCATTGGTTTCAGAACAATGATTTTTTTTTTTCAATACAAATTCACATGTATGAAGAAACAATTCAAATATCTAATGGAAAGAAGAATATTATGCTAAGAAAAAGCCCTGTCATGTTTTCATGTTCATTTTAAGCAAAAAGATAAAAAAGAAAAGAAAATAACATATCACAATTTGTAGAAATCTATAAAAATATAGTTCTATTCTCATTATTCAGGAAAGTAACACAAATGATTTATAAGCCTGCTTTAGTCTCTTTAGACTCTGTCCATCTGTATGTCCCAGTGTACTTGAAATCCCTATCTGCCATGAATTCATCAGATTCTTTAGGTCCACGACTGAAAGGACACACAGAAAACACTACACTTACAACAACCAAACCAAATAAAACCAACACCAAGAAATACAAGGGTTATACATGTATACATCATACAACAATACACATATTGAGATACTGTGAAAGTACTTTTCGTGGGGTACTAATTTTCGTGGTTTTCATGGATGGCTTTATCCATGAATTTAAGTGTCCATCAAAATATAACAAATGTCTAAATCAAGACCTGGAAAGATCCCCATGTAGATGTGACTACAGCATATGATCTAGAGAATACATAGAATATATGCAAACACACTATGAACTATATATACAACTTCAGACAGGATTTTACCTCAAAAATTTTAAACTGTACGACCTTTAACCTTTTAATTTTCATAAAAAATTTAGGTTTGATCGTGCTAAGTCAATCTTCCGTTATATGTGATGATGAAGTGTTCATTTTGTCTCCTCATAATTTTCATACGATAAAAATCTTCGCTTCTGATGGCTTCAAATTTGTAACTCAATTTATTTTCTCATAAAACTAAAATCTACGAATTAAAGTACCCACGAACATGTAACTTTTGCTCAAACCAAGAAAATTGATACCAACGAATAAAAGTACTTTCACAGTACAGTAACTGACCACTAGTACAATTGTTCAATGCTACAGCCACAAACAGTTGATCAGTATTTGTTTATTCCATGCACATTATATTTTAAATACTATGGATTCATTAGTATTTTTGGGATACTAATTTTAGTGGATTTCGTGGGTATAGGTAAACAACAAATTCAAATGTTCAACGGGAAGTACAAGTTTTATGTAGGCTTGCATGTACACATTGGCTAAAACATAAAAATCAAACAACCCCAAAAATACAATTTTTCCTCAATCCACGAAAATTTGTACCAACGACAAATAAACGAATCCATAGTAGATTGTATACCAATTTGGCGTAAAATCCAAAAATTCATATATCATTAAATAAGTATAAGCTGAAAAAGTGGGAGAATATAGCTTTTCAAATTTTTTCCTTTAATTTGTTTTTAATATGTAAAATTTATCTTTTTGTGAGTAAGCAGTGAACCATATAGTGGTTCAGTTAGGAAAAACAGATGATGCAATTTGCTTTTTCAGAATCTAAATCTCTATGGGTACTGTGATTGTGATTAAGTATCCAAGGTTAAGGACATTGTTAACCAACACTACAGTTTGGTATGAACTATTGAAAATATTACCCATAATTCATTAGATTCTGAAAACACATGGAAAAGTGAATTTCTACTGAATAAATATAAGGATATGATACAATGATGGTTAATAAAACCACATGCTAATAAATGATATTTTTTTCAAGAAAAAAAAAACATTTACAAAAAGGTTCATGCTTATAAAATAATTGTAGTTAGCTTCTTAAAGGGAGCGTGAGGTAAGTACCCTAATTGACAAGAAAGTTGTGGTATTTTATAATATATAAGGTAATATGGAAAACAGAACATGTTTGAAGAATATGAATTTTGTCATGCATCTTATTATACATAAACTGGTATGATGATAAAAATGTCTAGGTTATGTAATTATTAGTGAATTAAAATTCCAAAACTATTTCAATATAAAAACATTGCTTGAACATGTTAAACAAATAAAATGCACATGTTTGTTTTGTGATGATGTTCTTGATTTTAAAAACCAAAATGAAAATTAAAAGTTATCTTTAACAATTTTTCCCTACAGAAACAGAAATATATCAGTTGGACTAGATTTCTGAACCTTTTCATCATTTCTGTTAATTTATCATTCTGTATACACTTGGGATAAATTTTAATGTTATCCCAAATATAATCTTAAAAAAATCCTTGGGACCTTTGTTAGTAGACAATGTCAAGTCCCTTGTCTCTGAGTGCTATAACATTTCAAAAGGTATATCTCCAATTGTTTATATTCAATTCAATATTCAATTATATTAAGAAATATTTGGTCATCAATCTTAGAAGTATGGGAATTGTAAACTTACGGTATGAAATTGCAAACTCTGGATTTATTTTCTCTCTCTAACTCTTTTAAGACAAACAATTTATTACCTTCTTAAAATCTGTTAAAATACATTCAAAACACAAACATCCAAAGCATTACACCAAAACAACAGAATATCTTACCTTCCATAGACATAAGTAATAGGTTTTGGCTTCTCTGTTTCAATCTTGTTAAGTAATGGTGTAAATATTCTCCAGGCTTCATATAATTCATCAGATCGAACAAAGTTTATCTGGATACCAGAAAATACATCTAAAATCAACCTCTCATAGGCATCTGGAAGTTTGAGGTCCTGTCAATTATAAATAAGTCTATATAAAGCTATGCATTTTTAATACCAGGTACTATGTATATTTCTTGCTAAAATGTTTTATTTCACAGACTGGTTTTATTATTGTAGTATCAATCAGTCTCTTTTATACAGTCTTCTGTCATCTATCTGTTAAGAATTCTTGATGTTGCACAATATGAGTTTTTACAATTATCTAAAACTATTGTACAGTGACCATCAATAATCATATATATTTTCCCTCAAATATCAAGGTACATTGAATTCAGACATTATTGTGAGGCTTATAATTATTGTGTATAATGCGACTAGCTAAGTATTGCACTAATAAAAACTCATATTTTGATATCTTATACTTATATCTGTAAGCAGATTTTTCTGAAATCCCAATAATTAATCTTGCATTTTTGTCCATTCTTCAAATATCACAATAATATCCTATCCTACACTAACATTTCCTTGATATAAGAATGAAAGTAATGGGTACATTACTTATCTAACTATAATATTAAAGGTCAATTGGAGAATTAAACTATCCTCACAAAAATGAAGTGTTCATACTTCCAAAAGTTTTAGATTGTCATTATTGAATAATTGTGAAAATTTCTCTATTCTAAATTTTAATTATCGTCTTTTGGTATGCATAGTGCGCATTTGTGTATTGTACGCACCCCCTTTATGGTCCAAGAAACTTGAGAAAAAAAGTTTCTTCTTTGTATAATACACATAGACATTTTCGGAAAAGTCACAGCTCCAAAATCGGTAAAATGTTGCTTGAGCGTGATTTTTTTCGGCAAAGAATTAATGAGAAGTCATGATTAATATCATGGGAAGAATTTATTGTAGCTGAATAAAGAATTTTAATAGTTATCTTCTTTTTATAACCCACAAGTTAATGTTTGTCGTTTGTTGGCAAACAGGAAGTCTAAACTGGAAGTTTTTTAAATGGTCACCGATGTCGGTGAATTCCTTACAGAATACGTAGTTAATATGAAATTGTATTATCTTGTATTATTTAATTTTATGTTATGAATTAGTGCTGAAATAAATTGTTAAAATCTTATAATTTTTATTTTTTGTTTGTTGATTCTAGCTGTTAATCTGGATTATCACACCTCATTGATTGTTTTGATATCGATTAGACCCATTGATTGAGGTGTAATAATCCAGATTAACACCTAGAATACAATTTCGTATTAACTACGTATTCTGTAAGGAATTCACCGACATCGGTGACCATTTAAAAAATACAGGTAAATCTTGGGTGATTTTTAATTAACCTTGATTGTTATAAAAACAAATTATTTATCAAAACATCTATTGTTATTTGCATAAAAGTCGAGGTATTAGCGAAAAATTCTGTACTCTTCCCTTCACCTGTTTTTTTCTTTGTTGGAGTTCGGACCTGAAAAAAGGCTAAGAAAATGTTTGTAGGCATGTATAATGCCCACCCCTCTTACAAGAAACATGACCCAGGTATAAATGTGCGCACTATACATACCAAAAGGCGGTAATATTTTCTCATATTATAAGGACTTCAGATAAGTATTCCCATCTATAAATCACATCTTTTGATTTATGTACTGTAGAACTTGCCTTGTATCTAGAAGAGTAAGAGAGATCCAGCTCTGTTTCTTCACAGTTAAAGGACATTCCTGGTGACTTTGCCATCATTTTTAGATAAACGGCTTCATCTGGCTGTACTCTTATCACTAGTTCATTCCTCTTTACCTCCCCATCAGGGAATATATCTCCAGCAACAGCTTTGAATTGTATCCGCACTTCTGCCTTCCTCTCATTCAATGCTAAAGAAGAACAGTTAGTGTTTTCTAATATAATTACACTATTATCATGTACCAGTAAAAAAATTTGAATCTACATTATTGAGATACACACAATTTCCATTTATCCTTCAGTCACAATTAACCCTAGATGAATTTGGCTTTTCTGTTTCAGTCCTTTTTGTTGGTATAGCTTCTAACATTGCAGTGTATCTAAGCTTCCCTGTCTTTCAAATGTTTAGGTTTCAGTGTTCCTGATGAAGTTAAATCCAGATAAGAACTTTGAATGCACGGAATTTATAAAGTGTTTTTTCATATGATATCAATGAAGAAGACTTTTTTTACATGTTTAAATCCTCAAAAGTAGAAGCTAGGATTCATACATTATTTACTTCTTCGGAATCCTTATTATTTAAACTGAAAGGCCTTTCAAGGATAAGGACAAATGTAATGTTGATAAATGGGGTACAGTGAATATCTCATCTTAAGTTTAAATAAATGTCTGATGTTTAAGGGTTGGAATTGAGTCTATCTATGCATGAATCTGTCTGATGATGACTATCATTCTATTATACTAGAACACACCTGCGACATCGTGTGTCATGCTGGTTGTAAGGTGCACAGTTTTCTCTGCTTTCAAAATCTTTCTGTTTGAACCCATCCTGGTTTTTTTACTACAATAAACTTACTATAAACTAAATTTGTTTTTTTTTACTAATTAACCAAAATTAATAGTGGTATTTGGGTGGAAGAAAACAGACTTGTAAAATAATGTACTATAGTGTAACATAGATATAAAACAACTACTGGAAGAATTCCAGGTTCTCCTGATAGAGGAGGGATTTACAGAAGGTAACAGGTTGCTTCAACCGGAAACTACATGTGACATATACTATTGGTATCGGTATCAGATTCAACCCAGAACTTGTTAATTATTGGTAATGTTAATTATGTGGAAAACGAAAGGGCCTGGAATGGTGTAATTTTTAAACAACACAATTGTCCTATATTAGTTATAAAGCTGAATTCTTTGATTCGTTGTTTTTACGTCATGCCGGCTAACAAATTGGACCTCATTATTTTAGTAGTATAGCTATATATATATATATACTTGCCTTTCCCACATCTAAGTATAAATGGTACACCATCCCATCTCTCATTTTTAACATATAACACAGCAGTAGCAAATGTGGGAGTTACAGACCCTGAAAATAAACAAAAACTTTGTGAACAGGTAATCAAACTCTAAAACAGCTTGTTTACATTTCATCTGTACAAAGGTCAACAACTTCAAATACATAGCATGGTAAAGTCTAAAGACTTCAAAAATATCAACCAACTTCTTCCAGCAAATTATGTAATGATAAAAATAAACCATATTAGAATGTGGAAGGGGAAGATTTTATTTGGTTTGTTTTTTGTTTTCTCAACGACTCGCATCTCCTTTGGTTCATATTAGACTTAGTTGTGACAATTACCTTTAGGAACAGTAGGATCATCAAGATAACCTTGTGTCTCATCTCCTTTACCATCAGGTTTACCTACATACTGGCCTAAAATTGTATCCTTTATATCTACTGGTTGAATGCTCTTCAATACTTTAACCTGGAATACAAGAAGGATATCAGCTTAGGCAGAATATCTTATTTCATAATTAAAGCAGGATTTTTTTTACATCTTATTATATGCAGAAAATAAAGTATTAAACGAAAAAATTCAGTCTTTTCATACTACATGTCAAATATAAATCCTAGTATAAAAAGACCTTCAAACCAGCAATGGAATTACACAAACTTCTATGCTCAGACATCCCAATAGGTAACAAACCTTTTCATTACGTATGTCTTCAGCATTTGTACTTGGTGGTTTTTCCATTGCTACTAAGGTTAGTATCTGCATTAAATGATTCTGCATCACATCTCTGTAAAATAAATACATTATATAAATATATACCCGTTCAAATCAATATCTGTAAAACATATGAAAATCATGGGTACAATGTAGATCATTTTCCAAATAAACCTTATATAAGATAAAATGACAACTTTTCTTTGGCCAAAACATTAACACTTTTGGTCCTGAATGAATACAAATTTTTGCCAAAATGAAAAGTCATACTTTATATGAATGAATGCAAAACAATCTCATGCCATGGCGTAGGCTTCTTTCAAGCAACAAAAGAAATAGTTATTTCAAATCAACATACCTAAAACCATTTTCTCCTTTAATATAATCTACATAATTGTTTTATTTTTGTGGTCATGTAGCTGTCTCACTGTATACATTAAATATCCCACAACTCCTTTTATTTCATTTATGATTCAACATTAAGGACTATGATCATTTTACAATTACTGCCTACTGGTCTTATACCTGATGATTCCAAACTCATCAAAGTATCCCCCTCTTCCTTGGGTACCAAATGGTTCTTTAAAACTAATAACAACAGAAGCTATTCCATCTCTGTTCCACACAGGACTAAAAATTCTGTTGGCAAATCTGCAAAAAAGATACTGGCTATATAGATAAAATATCACAAAAACACGAGACAGAAAATTAATTTTTCAAGGATGAACTGATAGATTTTGAATTCCATATAAATAGACAAGGACAACAATTAACTGTTTCCTGAAAGCTGTCACCCTAGTTCCTTGTTAAACATTTACAGTAGCCAGATAAATAAAAAACACCCAGTAGAAATTAGAAGCTTAATGAATCCCTGTTAGCAAATATTTACCAGCCCTATTCTGTTTGTGGAGTTTTGGATGCCTTTTTAGTTTTTACCCTATATTGTGATTTATTAAACAGAAATAGAAATGTTAACAGATTTTAGGTACATCTGGATCTGTTCTTATATATTGCTGAGATATAATAAAAGTTTGGCTTGTTGTTTTTTCTTCTTCCTGCCAATCTAATGAGTCAAGGCATTTAAACTGATTTTTACAGTTTGTTCTCAAGTTGTGCGGTTACACAATTGTCCCAGGTTAGGGGAGGGTTGACTTTAATTTTGCAAAGAATATTTTATAAATTATCAATAAACCTCTGGGTTTTTTTTCTTCTTCTTTCTGCTTCATTTTTTACTGTATTTCTGTTATGGGAAAAATAAAGTTATCAGTTTTGTACTTAAGAAAAGATGTATCCCAATTAATGTAAATCATTTGTTGAATCTAAATTCTATACCTTAAAACCATGAGATTCTGTACCATTTCTTTCCCAAGGTAATGATCTATCCTGTATAGTTCTTCCTCTTTAAATAATGCTGACAAATGATTGGATAGTCTGTTTGATGATTCTAAATCTTTTCCAAAAGGTTTCTCAACAATTACTCTTGTCCATTTATCACTGAAATAAATCATGTTTAATGTATTAAGCAATTCAGTTAACAGCAGCAGATCAAGACTTCACAACTATGAATTGATAAGGGAAAAATGAAGGAACCTTAAGTGAGCAAGCACAAATACCCCACCTTCCTTATAATTTTAATATGGAATATTTTACAGCTCCCCTTTTTGAAAAAAAGGAACTCATTTCTGGTTTTATAAGTGGAAACCTTTATCTAGATTTGGATAAGAACTAATGAACATAATGTTCCAGGCTCGACAAAAATGAAGGCTTTATTATGGTGACAAGAGATAATATGGGATATTTTTACAATAACCTCTCCCAAAAAATATGATTCCCCATTTAAGATTTTCCTGAATATTGAAGTTATTTATGGTTTTGACGAGTGAAAACCTTCATCCAAATTTAAAGGGGACCCGACAATAAATGTTAGTGCTAGCATGGCAACAAGAAATATCATAAGACTTAATTTTTTTCAAGTGCCCTCCCCCCAAAAAATATTGTCCCTCTTATTCAGATTTTTCTGATCTTCAAACTCATCTATGCTTTTGATGAGTGGAAACCTTCATCCAAATTTTAAGAGGATCTGACAAAAAATGAAGCCAATAGCATGGTGATAAAAAAGTAATGAGAGACTGAATAAGAAATAGGTGAAAAACATTATACATGTTAAAATATACACTCCAAAACTTTTTTTGGCTGGGGTATATATGCTGAATGTAAAGAATATGCACTAATGCTAATAAAACTGCACCCAAAGTATTGTTAAATAATCTTATGCAGTTCCCAGTAAACTGAACATAACATTAAAACTTTAACCCTGTATAAAAATGTCAAAGTCAATGGATCATGACTGAGGAAACCAGGCTAAATACTTTCATTGGAAATAAGATGCAAGCCCATGCAAAAATACCATTGCTATATCTTTTGTAGTTCTTCTTACATTGACAATGATACAAATTTAGCAATTGATGATGACAAATTTAAAACACTACAACACATAAATTTACCCATTCTTTCCTTTGAAAAGGCCACACAAAATTAAATGAAATCAAAATTTCCCAATCATTTTCCGTGAAAAAAAAAATATTCAGGTAAGACTTTAAAAATTTTGAAATTAAGTTCCACATTCAATTTTCAGATTTATTAATCTACAACAAAAGAGACTTACCTCTTTGACATACAAGTAGCTTTCAGATTGAGGGTAACAGATTCATACACAGTTGGTGGAAGAGCTAGATAAAATAATCTGTTACAGCTGCCTTTTTGTTCGATGGCTTTGTTTAGTTTAGAGAAATCACCAGGAGAGTCATAACTACCAGCTATGTATTCATTTATCTTGAAAAATTGCTCTACTTTTTGTTCCTCTCCATTCTTTACCTAAAAAATAAATTCACGACGGTATAACGAGAGAGTATTATGTAAGTTGTCAGAAATAACAAGCTGAATTGTGAGCTATTGATTACAAAAGATACCTGTGATACATAGTATTTGGTAAACAGGAAAATGATGAGCAACGAATGTGAAAATGCATCACAAGGTTTAGCATGCTCACTTGAAGGATAAAGAAAAACCTTATGCAAGTTCTAGTAATTACTGAGAAAAAAGTGATCAAAATATGATATATTTACATCCTGAGGATATCGTTATTCCTTTCATTGTATCTATTTTCAAAATATGAAATATGATGTACAGTAAAATATTGGGAAAATTCACTTTACTATGAATAAAAGTTGGTGATACAGTTACTCGACAACACAAGAAATATCATAAAATTCACCTAGAAGTCAACATACAGTCATCAAGAATAGAACAGAGGATACATTTAGTCTCTTTACCATAAAGCTTAAAATTGTCCAAATTGTAGAAAAGTTGCATATAAATTTAACTTTTTAAGAGAGACTACTGAAGATCTTCTCAACACTAAAAACAAGGAATTATTTGAATCTGGAATAATTTTGAATTCTGGAAAATTGATGAGAAATATATGATGAAAACTAACCCAACTAAATAGGGTTAGCCATGCGCGCATGGCTAAGGTGGGTTAGTTAGTTCATACTGAAATGATAGTGAAAGTAAAATTAACCTTAGCCATGCACGCATGGCTAACCCTATTTAGTTGGGTTAATTTTCATCATACATTTCTAATCAATTTTCCAGAATTCAAAATTATTCCAGATTCAAATAATTCCTGTTTAAACACCTTAAATGTGTAAACAATGACAACCACTGATAAGGTTCTGGACTTTGGAGATGCTAATTCAATGCACCAGGATCTAAAAACATTCTGGTAGTCAACCCTCTACATTTTTTATTAATACATGTAACACTTGTATGTATGTATATATACCTTCATGTAGGGCAGTGCTTTCTTTTTGATATCTTCCACAGTAAGTTTACTTCTGGAATAACCAATAAAATATGTCTTTGGTGGTAACAATCCATCTCTAAACAGCCACCTACAAACATCAAATATGTTGTTTACTTAGTGATACAAATAAAATAAGCATTTGGTGAAACAGTCAATCACATATAAACTTTAAATTTGTAACTACTATTTACTTACATTTTTCAAAACTATACAACTCTATAAAGGAACATATATATATATAAGCTTCAATTTGAGATTAATATTTGTTACAAACAAAATATCTATTTGTTGGAAATAAACTTTCTCTGCACTGTGACCTACAAACATTCAGTTTGTCTTTTGTCTCTTAAAATTGTAATTATCAGTCAGAAATAAAACAAATGTGTTTATCCCTATACAGCCTACCACAAACATTGACCTTGTAATTATCAATATGGTGATTACCAAAACCTGGAGATATTTCAAGTTAATATCTTCTCTCCTGCTATGCTCTTCAAAATGTATTAGGATCAGCCTTATCATATATGTATTTGAACACAAGATTTTCCCAAATCTAACCATAATTGCCTTCAAAATATTTCTTTGAAAAAAAAAAACGTTTTAATATATGAAATATAAACAAACAGTTATTGCATAACACTGTATAAAGAAATTTTCCATAACATTTCTGTCGATTCAACTTTTACCCTAGAGTACAAAGAATTATTTCTTTTTCCTTTTTTCTCAATGAATTTTTGAGAAGTTTTCTTAAAAAAACAAATATAGAAAAAAAAACAATGGTTGTTTCATAATAGAACGAAACTCTATCTGTTGCCAATCTATCATGCAATTTGAAGTTAAGTAAACTTTATAAACCAAAGCTAAATATTTGAAATAAATTAACACATGATTAATAATGGTGTATGTAAAACAAAGACTTAGACAATTTCAAAGGTTATCTATAAAGTTATGATCTTATTTTTTATAACATTAATTGGGACTTCATAATATAGAAACAATTGTCAACATAAATTTTTCAGATTTTTTATATACATGTATCATTCAAACAAAAGTGCACACACTGAAATGTATCGCCTACTATACTGACCATTGATTTTATGTTGATAGTCCTACATATAAAGTTTTACTACAAGTATCACATTAACATTTATGATCCAAGAAAATGAGGTCAAGGTCAGATAAACCAAGGCGGAAATACATGCACACCTTTAATACAATCATTCCATACACAGAATATAGATGACCTATTGCTTATAGTATAAAGAAACAGACCAAACTATAGAAATTCTATATTGATCAATGAAACATGAAAATGAGGTGAAGGTCAGATGATACCTGCCAGACAGACATATACACCTTACAATCATTCCATACACCACATATAGTTGACCTATTGCTTAAAGTTAAAGAAAAACAGACCAGAACACAATAAAATGCTCCGCTGGGCGCAGCTTGATACGACCGCAGAGGTCGAACCCTGAACAGTTGGGGCAAGTATGGACACAACATTCAAGTTTGATACAGCACTGAATTTGGATTGTGATTAAATATTTGACACAGCATAGGTTACTGATACAGAATGAATGTGGTCTAAGAACTTTAAAAAATTTTAATTTACCTATTCAAACCATATCATTATTATTCGCTTTTATATATAAATCAGAAATAACCAATTTAAAAAGGAAAATTTTAAAGAAAAAAAAAATCCCTCCCCCAAATTTTTTGAACCCCCTTATGATTCATCACCCCCAAACTCAAACCCAGCCTTCCCTTTGTGGTATGGTACCTTGCAGTACAATTTCAGAGAGATCCATACACTTGAACACAAGTTATTGTCTGGAAACTAGAAAAATGCTTGTTTTTGGCCCCTTTTTGGCCCCAAATTCCTAAACTTTTAGGGCAATTACCCCCAAACTCAAACCCAGCTTTCCCTTTGTGATATGAAACCTTGTAGTACAATTTCATAAAGATCCATACACTTACACACAAGTTATTGTCCTGAAACTAGAAAAATGCTTGTTTTTGCCCCTTTTTGGCCCCTAATTCCTAAAACTTTGAGGCAATTACCCCCAAAATCAATCCTAGCCTTCCCTTTGTGTTATGGTACCTTGCAGTACAATTTCAGAGAGATCCATACACTTGAACACAAGTTTTTGTCTGGAAACTAGAAAAATGCTTATTTTTGGCCCCAAATTCCTTAACTGTTGGTACCATAACCCCCAAAATCAATCCCAACCTTCCTTTTGTGGTATTGAACCTTATGGTAAAATTTCATAGAGATCCATTCACTTTAACTAAAGTTAGAGTGCGAAAACCAATGTGTCTTCGGACAACAACGACGACGCCAACGTCATACCAATATACGACCACAAAATTTTTTTGCGGTCGTATAAAAACTTAACATAGGCAATGAACCATGAAGATGAGGCCAAGGTCAAATAAAAACTGCCAGACTGACATGTACATTGTAAAATTTTTCCTTACATCAAATATAGTTGACCTACTGCATACAGTATTAAAGAAACCAGACCGAAACACAAAAACATAACATTGAGCAATGAACTGTGAAAATGAGGTGAAGGTCATATAAAAACCTGCCAGACTGACATGTGCATCATAAAATATTTCCATATTTATAAATTGTGCCCTAAAAATACTACTACATTTGATATGTTACCACAGCAAGAACTAATCGAATTGTAATTACATAGTAATTATAATTATACATCATTACAGATGAATAACCATTGCCTATATGCAAATGAGTAAAACCAGATAATCTTCTCACAGACACACACCTTTCTAACAGTAATTATTTTACACAAGAAAGGTCAAATCAGGCTACGATAGAAATAACCACCAAATAAATGTATAGTATACACAACATAACTTCTTTAGAAAAGTCTGTACAGATATCGATATATAATTCACCTATTGACAAAGGTGTTAATATGTGTTGCTGGGATTGGTAATGGACACGGCTATTTATAAAAAGTCAAATCAGGCTACGATAGAAATAACCACAAAATAAATGTATAGTATATGCAGCATAACTTTAGAAAAGTCGATACAGAAATCGATATATTTCACCTATTGACAAAGGTTTTAATATGTTTTGCTGGGATTGGTAATGGACACGGCTATTTATAAATTGTGCCCTAAAAATACTACTACATTTGATATGTTACCACAGCAAGAACTAATCGAATTGTAATTACATAGTAATTATAATTATACAAGGCTAGGGTACCTGATGAGGATTTACGGCCTTGGTCAAAAATGACCTAAATGATATCCGAAACACCAGGTGCAGCTTAATCATTTTTATATCATTGAAAATCGAAGACTTCTACTTAATTACCACACATCATTACAGATGAATAACCATTGCCTATATGCAAATGAGTAAAACCAGATAATCTTCTCACAGACACACACCTTTCTAACAGTAATTATTTTACACAAGAAAGGTCAAATCAGGCTACGATAGAAATAACCACAAAATAAATGTATAGTATACACAGCATAACTTCTTTAGAAAAGTCTGTACAGATATCAATATATAATTCACCTATTGACAAAGGTGTTAATATGTGTTGCTGGGATTGGTAATGGACACGGCTATTTATAAAAAGTCAAATCAGGCTACGATAGAAATAACCACAAAATAAATGTATAGTATACGCAGCATAACTTTAGAAAAGTCGATACAGAAATCGATATATTTCACCTATTGACAAAGGTTTTAATATGTTTTGCTGGGATTGGTAATGGACACGGCTATTTATAAACAAGAGTGCACACGCTGAAATGTCTGGCCTTCTTAACTAATCACTGATATTATGTTGATAGTCCTTAATAAAAAGCTTTATTACAACTGTCACATAAACTTAACATTAATCAAGAAAACTAAACATTGACCAATGAACCATGAAAATGAGGTCAAGGTCAGATGAACCATGCCAGGTAGGCATGTACAGCTAACAATTCTTCCATACAACAAATATAGTTGACCCATTGCTTATTGTTCAAGAAAAACAGACCAAAACACAAAAACTTAACACTGACCAATGAACTGTGAAAATGAGGTCAAGGTCAAATAAAACCTGCGCGACTGACATTTTATATAGATCATAAAATATTTTCATACACCAAATATAGTTGATCTATTGCATATAGTATTAGAAAAAAGACCCAAACTCAAAATCTTAACTTTGACCACTGAACCATGAAATGAGGTCAAGGTCAAATGACACCTGCCAGCTAGACATGTACACCTTACAATCATTCCATACACCACATATAGTTGACCTATTGCTTAAAGTTTAAGAAAAACAGACCAGAACACAATAAAATGCTCTGCTGGGCGCAGCTTGATACGACCGCAGAGGTCGAACCCTGAACAGTTGGGGCAAGTATGGACACAACATTCAAGTTTGATACAGCACTGAATTTGGATTGTGATTAAATATTTGACACAGCATAGGTTACTGATACAGAATGAATGTGGTCTAAGAACTTTAAAAAATTTTAATTTACCTATTCAAACCATATCATTATTATTCGCTTTTATATATAAATCAGAAATAACCAATTTAAAAAGGAAAATTTTAAAGAAAAAAAAAATCCCTCCCCCAAATTTTTTGAACCCCCTTATGATTCATCACCCCCAAACTCAAACCCAGCCTTCCCTTTGTGGTATGGTACCTTGCAGTACAATTTCAGAGAGATCCATACACTTGAACACAAGTTATTGTCTGGAAACTAGAAAAATGCTTGTTTTTGGCCCCTTTTTGGCCCCAAATTCCTAAACTTTTAGGGCAATTACCCCCAAACTCAAACCCAGCTTTCCCTTTGTGATATGAAACCTTGTAGTACAATTTCATAAAGATCCATACACTTACACACAAGTTATTGTCCTGAAACTAGAAAAATGCTTGTTTTTGCCCCTTTTTGGCCCCTAATTCCTAAAACTTTGAGGCAATTACCCCCAAAATCAATCCTAGCCTTCCCTTTGTGTTATGGTACCTTGCAGTACAATTTCAGAGAGATCCATACACTTGAACACAAGTTTTTGTCTGGAAACTA